ATCACTTTCTTGGGATTCTTCTGGCTGTCTCTTCTACAGCACTCAGAACAAAGGACTCCTAATCTCTGATTAGCTCCAGAGAATCACGGCAACTGAAATAATCACAGGAACTGAAAATGCTGCATGCTTTGGAGATCTAAGACCAACAGAACTGGACATTTCTGGTCCTTAAACAATAAATACTCTTGAGTTTGTCTACTTGGAGCAGATTCAATCAGGAAAAAAAAAAAAAAGTCCAACATGGTCTATTTTTATTATTTATTTTACAAATGCAGCATAATGTCTTCTGAGACACTTTCAGTTTCACCAAGCAAAAGCTGTCCAATATTACCGGCCAGTTCTGGACAAGAAAAATGGTCCACTTCAGTGGTTTGCAACGTTGGTCTACCAAGTTATTTATATGTATCCTACAGAGTGGGATACAGCCTGAGCTGCACTCTGGCTGTATTGCCTGGTATTTCCAGTGGAGCAAATGCATCATGAGAAACTAATTATGAAGCCAGTCAGTGTCATACAGCAGGAAAGAACAGTGAATACGATTTGGGTAAAATTAAGTTGATTAAGTGTAGGCTCCAGATGTGTATTCCATTCTCCATGTCTGGGAGAGACAGTGCATAAGCACTTTAATATTTATTATGACTGACAGAAAATTCTTTGATTACATTTGATATAACTATCGGAGCCCAGTATAACTAACCACTGCCCATAAAGCAGTGAGAGGAAAGCACTATGATACCCTCTGTTGATACATAATTATGAAAAAATAGGCCCCCTCCTCTTCTGCTGGCTGAGTTAATCCCCACATTGGCCAAAGACAATATCACATAATGAATAAAGGAATGTTGTTTCATTTTCATACTTTAGATTTGAATTCAGACTGGCATAATTATGGTCTTTATGGAGATCAAACTGATTGGATATCATAAAGAAATACATTTCATAATAAGAGTTTATATTTGCCTTCAATCACCATGCTGAGGACACAGGCACAAGTTTTATGTATGGAAATGATACATTTAATCAAATATTCATATTCTAATTGATTTTTTAAAAATATATGAATTATTTAATTCCTAACAAAAGCAAAGAGTACTAAGATTTATTTGTCATACATATCTCTGGATAAATCATGGTGACTTGTTGTGAATCTGGAGAATGAGGGAGAAATATATGGCCTTTCTCTACACCAAATGCAAAAGGATGCATCAGGAAATTAGAAATGACCAGTCTGACCTTTCATATAAATAAGAGATGGACTCACAGTATACCATTGGCTGTAAAGTGCACATCATTTCTCACAAACATGATGGTATTCTCTGTTGCAGATCAGGCAGCAAGAAAAGGATATTAAAGAAAAAAACAAAATGATAGCATGACGCCCCTTTTACGAAAAGTAATGGACAATATTTTTTGTGATAGTGGCTGCAACATATCTACCATAGAGGAGCTGCTAGGATACATATAAACAACTATGTCCTTATTCCACACTGTTCTGTATTAAGGACTCTGAAAGCGATACAAGAACTAAGACTTTCAAAACTCTGCAAGTGACAAATGACCCTAAATTCCATTTAGTACTCATAATGAGAATTTAATCCAGATTTATCAAATTTTTTACACTTCTATCAACTAAAATAGGGATTTTCACATATACCAGGTAACTCGCCACAGTTAATTTCAGTCCCACATAGCTAGATCAATTTTGAAAATGGAACAAAGATCCCAAAGTCATTTCATTGTTTTATAAAAGCTTTTCACTGGTTGTTGTGGGAATGTAACAAGAACAGGCTAAGTAAATTAATTCAGAAGGGAAGAAAACTCATACAAGAGAAAAGACAAGTCAAAGGATCATTTGTAGAAACAGCAAGAAAAGATCCCTCAAAATTTGTCAAGTGAGTAAAAATAAAAGAGACCTTTAACTACATCCAGCCACCATCTCTGAGAGTAGCTCTGCTTCACACCTCATGGTTTGCTGAAGAAATTGACTTCTTCTTCCCACAATAAGACTCCCATGAGAAGTATAAGAAATTCTGGTTTGCTTTATTTATATCATTTGATTGTGAAATCATGAAAGAGAGGAAAAATAATTTGGGGTCTGGAGTCAATTCTGGGAGATGTCTCATCTTTCTGATTAAACTGTTGGTGCTATAGGATATGAGCTATTTATTTTTCCTACAGTATCTCGCTCTATGACTAAAGTCCCCTGGCAGAACAAGAATATAAAGAATAAAACAATTATGAATTTAAACTCTAGATTGAGCTAAGGGGTGAAATGCGTCCTTATCTTTAGGTATTTCAGCAAACCCACCAAAAGCAAACAGTTAAGGCAATATCATCTTGAATATAGTTGAGTTACAGCTTCTTTTATTGGGTTTCTTTTATATTTTCTGAGATTTTCACCTGTCTGCAGAAGTTATGGATAAGTCAGGAAATATTTGGAGCCTACTCAAAGTTTGCATATAGCCTGCAAAGTTCAGCAGAATGAAAAAGTTATGGAAATTGATACTTTTTATGTGATTTACTGTATTTTATGCTCTGTTATGTCACTTATAACATCACATATAATATTCAGCCAGGTTTAATATTGTACCTTCAAGCCACTAGCTCATCTCAGCTGTTTTACTAGCCTGACTTTATATCCTAAACTGAAAGGATGTATTTTCTTTTTCTAGTATGCCCACGCTATTTCCTCTATAACACAAGATATTCTTAAAATGAGATGTGTCTATCCAAACAGCTATTGTGGTATAAAACAAATCAATCTTTTTTGGACTGCTACTTTGAATTTTACTCCAATTCCCTTGAAGGCTATTTCTCACTGGTATCACTCATGAAATCACACAACTGGGCTGACTTTCTGAGTTTCTGAAGGATACACAGTGTAAGCTGGGTAATAGACATGTAGGAGTAGGCATCTCCATTAAGATACACACAAAACATTACAGTTATAAGGTGCCATCTTTAAAAAGGATTCTGGTCAAAAAAAGCCAAAATATACATGTATTAAAAAAAATAAAAAAAAATTATTTGATCATCTATATCTAAAGTTTTACCAGATGTTCTTTGCTTTAGATCCTGCAAAGTAGAAAAGTTTGACTACATTCATCAGTAGAAAACAATTTTACTAATAGAAAGATGGGGTTCCGATTTTTTCAGGTTTAGCTGAAAATATTTCAGAAATGAAATGGATATTAAAAAAATAAATAAATACATTTAATAAAAAATAAATAAAATATTATATTCTTATGACTTCAGATGAGTCAAATTATTCATACAGTTCCACAAAAAACATCAGTAAAACATCAAGTGTCACAAAAAGATGGGAGCAGACAATGGTGCTGACCTGGCTTTTTTTTCAAATTTAGAAGTAGGTTGAAGTGGTTGAAAAGTACAAAAGCACATGAGTATGTATACAGCTGACAGCCAATACAAAGGATCTGAGTTTTGAAGTGCATTGTGTGCAGTCACTTATGGCCCTGAAGAAGGCACTTGGGTTGATGTGGTGCCAGTGGCTGGAGCTGATCTGGCTGGGGTGAAGCTGGGGGAACTGCCTGGGGGCACAAGCTGAGTTAATGCATCAGGATGGCTGATTCTCTTTAGGGATGCAGGAAGACACTCTGCTGGTGTCAGCTGAACAAGACCTATTTGCAGCAGCTGAGAAAATCCTCTAGGAGTTACAGAGCTATAGAGCAAGAAGGTTGCACTTGGCGATCCATGTCTGAAATGAAGACAGGAGGTGGGGTGAAATAGTGACCCGCAGGAAGTGTGTTGTACCTTCCTTCTCTCATTACTGATGAGCAGATAAAATAGGTGAATAAAACCAGACACAATTACTGCCAACATTTATGTTTCTTCTAGAACACAACTGTACAGCTACTAATTTTTGGGTTCAGCTCTCTTCTTCCCAGCTACCTGTGTCACTACTGCAAACTTGCTGGATCTCTTGAATTTGTGCATGATATGTGAGAAATGGAGTATGGTCCAGTTGCTAAGCTTTATTGAAAGCTTTGAGAGCATTTATTTGTTCTGTCACTACTATTCTGTGACAAATCATTTCATCTCCATGAAAGTTTTTCTGCAAAAACCTCTGAGACTGAGGAAAGAAATCGGTCTTGCCCCAGCCCACGTGTCTGTTGCGCCCTTGTGTTTTCAAGCTCTAATTAGACTCTGTGCATCGCCAGGGGGAAAATGCTCTAGTGAAAATACTTGATGAATTTTCAACCTTTATTTTATGCTACCACTCTTTAAATAGAGAGAAAAAAAAAAAAGTAAACCTGAAACCAAGCCAGCTAAAGTATACAAAAACAATATTAAACCAAAGGAGGTAAAAGGCCAAAGAAGAAGGAAATGATCAATTTCCTTAGCTTTTGATGTGACCTTCTGGACCCACCACCAGAAAGAGAGGTCAACTGGCAAAGGAAAGGAAAGCCTAGGACCAGAAAGCTGCTACAATGTGCCTCCTGGTCTAGAAGCTATTTGCTTGTCAGCAGGAAGTGCTCACTATCCCTCATGCTGTTTGCTCTCACAGGCCATAGGGCTGTTTTGCCAGACTTTTAAAAGACAAACAGTCTGTCTTTCAAAGGATGACATGAGAATGACAGATCCACTTCACCAGGTGATCAGGGAGGTACAATCTCCAAACACACAAAGCCACAACACCGTTCTTTTCTGCTTCCAGTCACAATCTAAACCACAAGTATGAGGTAGATGGGGGAGATTTAATAGATGGCCATATAATTTCCATAGGAGACATGCAAAGAAGCTAGTCTTCACTGTCACTTGCTTAATAAATCACCAACACCTGGGATATGTGATTTTATTATCATTCGGGTTTGAAATATTTCCTACTTAACAGCAAAATGTCTGGAGGTGGACTCTGTGCTGAATATACAAGCAGACCTTAACTTCTGACCAAAAGAAAAAGACACAAAAGGACACTTCTATATATAAGGACACGCTAAAGATGCCTAATATCTTAAATTATTGTTTTTCTTTTTCAGGGGAAGAAAGTCTACATGGTCCTATTTTTATTCAAGAGCCACATGATATCACTTATTCCATGGGCTCAGCGAATCCAGAAATCCTACTGAACTGTACAGCTAAAGGATATCCACTCCCTTACTACAGGTGAAGTCAACTTTTGAAAAGTCCCATCTGGCTTTAAATCTTTTAACAGTTTTATTTAGTCATAGAAGGTCAGGTGTACCTCAGTGTGTGGCAAGTGCTCATGGCAAGAGTGACAGTAGCTAGAAAGCATGGTTCCACTTCTAGGCTTTGGGACTGGGTTTGTTTCTTTTCCTCATTGATTCCCCACATCGAGAAACATTCAGCCAGCAGCCCAGGCGAAAAACTTGTCTCTAGTGTTTTGAAGTTACTAAGATGGGAGTATAGTAGTATAGTACTTACTAGGACCTCAACTTTGTTACTTCCAGGAGAGAGAGAGAATGTTTTGACAGCCTGCAGGCCAGATGTAATAGGTGATGTAATGAGAAGAAGATCCTGCAGCTGAGGTTGCATATAGTACTGGTCACATGCACATAAAACTGAAATAAGGTCACATTCATTGTTTTTATTTCAAAAATAAAATGTCTCCCTATACATTAAACTACATAGGTATGGCATTCCATCATTTGAAGCCTGCTTGTTAGAAATCTGAGAAGAGGAAGAAAATAGTGAAACTTTAAAAGCTACATGAGTATAGAAAATTTGAGGAATGAAGGAAAAATATTTTTGCTAGTCTATAGTTAAGAAAATTGACACAGTAGAAGAAAGCACATCACTGAAAATTGTCCCCATAGTATTTTAAAACCTACAAAATTACTTCTGAATCCACAGAACAGCTGTGAAAAATGGAAAAATGGAGATGCTGTGCATCTGTATTTGCTAAAACTTTCTGTACATCTATAAATGCTAGGAAAGCAAAAGAGCAACATCCTTGCCCATTTCTAATTCTAAGATTTCATGTATATATTTATAGTGTTTATCTAAAGAAACAGCAAGGCACAACTCTGATAACTAGCTTACAACACTCTGCAGGCTCACTTAATAAAACCTCAGTACACAGGAATGTTTGCTTATTGAATAACTATGGAGTCATCTTTTAAAATGCAGCTTGTTGTGCCAAGGATTTGGAAACCTGAGTCTAATAAGAGGAAAAGCTGTATATCTAGGGGAATAAATAAATAAATAAATAAATAAAGTCTGGGGAAAGGAAAGTGAAAAACAAGTAATTCATTCAAGATAAAAAAAAAAAAAAAGTATCCTACCAATCCTACCAAATACTTAGACAGCATTTCTTCAGTAGCTTTTAATTGTTCACACAATTCCACTGTACTGTACCACTGCTAATTATGAACTTGGCTTTTGTGCTTCGTGTATTAATATTTTTTCCAAATATTCTGCCAGTAGAGAAATGCTTTATCTTCTTTTCACAATGTAACTTCTATTTATATAAGTAGAAATCCTCACCCAGATCCCATCCCATTCATTCTTGCAGTTTTCAACATGAACATCCATGGTTTCATGTCATCCGTCTGTTTCATATCCAGTTATATAGGCAGCTTCTTCAATGACCTGTAAAAGTTATTAATTCACGTATTCCACCCATGAACTCCACACATCCAAAACGAGTAGTAACAGTAGATTTCATTAGGCATGTGAGCTATGAAATCTCCTCCCATCAGGCATCCATTAGTCCTATCTTCCCTTCCACTTTCTTATGCTTTCTTACTGTCCATTAACTAGATTCACTTTTTCTTTGCCCTATAAGGACATTTTGCAACACCTCAGTTACTCTAGTAAGACCAGATCAACATCTGGGGATGTATCCTGAACCCTCTAGGTCAATTAGAAGTTACCATACCATCACTGCTGCTGTTACAAGTTGGGAGTTTTTCACCATTATTTGAAAGGAACAGGAAGCCTTCAGCATATTTCTTTGATTTCAGTAGTCAGTTTTATCAGATAAGAATCAAGCCCATATATTTAAAGTTCCAACAATTTTAGATAAATCAAGCGCAGTATGAAATTTTAATAATATCCTTTGCTGAGTGATGGAAAAGAACTGCAAGGATTATAGCAAGGCATTTCTTTGATTCATAACTACAGAACTGCTACAATAGGAATAAGGTTATACCCAAGCTAATTTGCTATTTAGCACCTTTTTGCATAAATAAATATGCTGATTAGAACCTTTAATTTAAAGAAAAATGCTTAGCATTTTCTGGATAATCTTATTTTATTTTTTTTTTTAATGTACTGTATTAAATTCTTCTTAAAGACTCATTAAAGATAGGAGTGACCTTTTGCAACTTGATTTCAAAATCCTGTGTGTCTGGCAAGCACAATACAAGAATTGTATAGGATTGAAACAGGCATAATGATGAAGTGACAAAAAATGAGAGACTCTGATTTTCTCTGCTGGAAGTAACAGAGAACATAGATCTGATTACAAAGGAAACAAAAATAAAGATAGAGAAATGTCTCTAAAATCTGTGCATATGTTGGGAAATCTAGATAAATATCCTGTTAAATACCATCATAATAATCTACATTCTCATCTTCTCTACAGTCTTTTTTTTTTTTTTTTTTTTTTTTGTAATATCAGTTACATTATTTCTACTCTTTCACTGTGCAATAGTGGTGGTAAATACAACTTTTCAAACTAGATTTATAAGTAATAAATTTTAATTATCTTTTCACATGCTATTCATGAGCATATCACTGTTCCACATTTTCTTTCCATTAAGTCATTCTAAATCATTCAGTTTAATAGTTAAATTAGCTAGCCTTCCTCTGCACTGGGGGGAAAAATAAATAAATAAAAAACAAATAAATAAATAAATATGTCACCTGGAGCTTTTCAAGCAAGTGTTTTCTGCAGTATTTTGATATTTCTCATTCAGTCTCATTCAGTCTCAGGTGTTAGTTCTAATTCATTACATTTTTTTCTGTTTTTTTTTTAGGTTCAGTATTCTGTGTAATCATGTATGCTAACAATTTTATGCAAGTTTGAAATCAATGTTTTATTTTTTTTTCCCTCTCAAAATCTACAGAGAGAAGTCAGTTGCACAAATGAAGAAATCCAGGGACAGCATAAATGCTATTCATTATAGAGCAATCTTAATATTTCAGCATAACTTAGAAAGATGCAGTAAAATAAGACAAAGAGATATAAATTTAATCCAAATCAAAGTACCATTCAACATAACTGTAACAATCAAATAAAAGTGAAGGGAGCAGAGGCACAAAATCTACATTAATTGCTAATGTAATAAAATATGTTTATAAAAATTGTATACGATTTTAGAGTAATTCCCCATAACTCCAAAAATACTTTTATCTTATTCATACCCTTGAAAAAACAGTGACAATCCTTCTGTACCAAGTATACCAAGAATGGTATACTTGTTCACTAAAATACTATCCCTTGACTCATTGCAGATTCTGCTTCAAAAATGAAGTATAATTAAAAATCCCTCCAACCTCTGTTGTCTTGTTCAGTCAATAGTTTTAAAACTTTCTATTTTCAGGCTTTTCAGGCTTCTATGCAAATAGTAAAAAAATAAAATAAAAAATCAACTGTGTCTCAGAAGATTTGGCAGGTCATGATCTTTTAGACTGTAAATAACTTAAGAAACATGGAACATGGAACATTTAATGATATCTTAAAAAATAAATAAATGAATAAATAAGTATTTTATAGCAGCACCCTGAGAAGATAATTCATAGAAGATAATTCAGAGAATCATGTGTGCATATAACCATGCTATACATGCCTTTTTATTATATTTCTATATGATTTTATGCAAACTAAGATTGGGTACAGTCTATTTATTTTTACATTTATGACTTATTTTTTCATATTGGTTCTCTGAGATACACAATTGAAAAATACACATAAAATCCAGTTAGTTATGTGGAATTAGGAGTAAGTGTGGGAATAAATAAGAAGTGCCAAACACCTTTATGACTCTTGGGGTCATAGATGCTGCTAAGATGTTGTTTAGAAGCTATTAAAGTTTCATGATAGGCAAAGAACAAGGTAGTTGGAGGAGAAGGAGATCACAACCTTACCCAAAACTCATTGAAGTACATTGAAAGTACAGTTGATTCTAAAAATCAGTTATGGTGGAAGTCTATAAGAAAACAGGACAGTGTAAGTGAGACAGTCAGTCTGGAGATTGATCCTACCTCACTTCATATGTGCCTTTCAAAGTCAAGACTCTTGAGATCCTCATACTCCAGGGAACTTGGTCATTGATTGCTTATTGTAGAAACTCTCTTTAGTTGGAAAAATGAAGGAAAACAGCAAGCAGAGTCTTTTAAGCCCACGTAGAGGGATTTTCCTTTATTAAGTTCTATTCTTGATGATCCTTTTTAATTTCCAAAAAACCCTGCTGTGCTTGCCTCTCCCTTATTTGTACCAGAGAGAATTCTACTTGAAATGGTCAGGTTGGAAATTATCATTCCATTGTTCTTAAGGAGAGAATGAGCTATGCCTCCCAAGTGTCAATCAGCCTTAGGTAAATATTTCTTCTTTTAAGTAGAGCTCCACTAAGCATTAAAATAATAATTTGAAGGATCTAAATTAACAATCTCCATAGAGATTACTCTATCAAAAGGGGATTTCCGCCTCAATAAAAATCTGATTTAGATATCAGTTTTTATTGATTTGCTCAAAACAACCATGCAGAATGATCAGAATAAATGTATGGGGTGGTTCATACCAATCAAACATTGTTTATTTTATTTTGTTTTGTTTTGATGAAAGCAACTTTTCTTCCTTCTGGTGGCTTACATTTGCTGGGATATTGTGAGAAAGGAAAAACTCCTCTCCTCTGTATCATACAAAAAGTAGTTCAAAATTAGGGAAGGAATCAAGTAAGAACTTCCAGCTATGATGACTTTGGTACAGAATCATGACACAGCCATGCATTCTTTGTCATACTTCCAGAATTTTACATGTAGAGTTGGCAAAAGTACTTTTCCTTCAGCAGGAAATTCTGTTAGTCCTAAATGTATCTTTATTTAAAGGCAAGCAAAAAGGATTAATGAAATATTGCATTTGAATTTTTGCATGTTGTCTCAGTGGAATCTTTTACTAAATTCCTTAATTTCTTCAACATGTCTAGTTTTCTTTATATATATATATACTAAAACTGATGCACCTTGATATTTAATTTCCAAAACAGTCACATCTTCTAAAATAAAAGGCTTCCTTTTTCTAAAGAGTTTCTATGGAACATTACTCTTTTCATTAATCATAAAAATGGGACTCACTTAATTATAGCTACTTGGCCATTCCATAGCATTGTATAGTATCCTTACAGACGTGATTACAAATTTCCTGGTTAATAATTCATTTCTCAAAAAACATAATCTTACGTCAAAAAAAATAATAAATTCTTTCCCACTGAAATGTCAGAGATCACAGATAACCAAATTTATCTCATTGAAACAAATTTCATACTCTGAAGTTCAGTATTAGCCCTGTGTTCACCTGTTATTTTGTAGTGAAGCACTGGGTTGCAAGTTGGATGTCTTGTGCCGACACATTTTTCCCACAAAGCAGCATTCCAGGCTGAGGACTCTCTTCAGCTCTGATGCATTTACTTGAACACAGGTCAGTATGTAGGTGGTAGCATCTAGATCATGGCCTAGAAGAAATTCTACTCAGAGAGAACAAGGGAAGTTTAAACACCAGAGATATCTCCGGGCATACAGCTTGATAATCAATATATGTGAAATTAAGCATATTGACATTTCTCATACAAGTTTCAAGAATATTTGTTATCTGCAAATATTTCTAAAATTTCACCATTTTTATGAGTGTGATGTGCTGTTGCCGTTTTTGAACGTTTTTAGCTAGTTAACAAATTCTCCTTTTCTGCTTGGAGACAAAGATGGTTTGAATAGCAAATCATAATGGTATAAGTATTAGGAAATCATATTTATTCTTACATAAGTGGAGCTGAAATGATTTGACTGCAGTGTTTGCTAGAAGTAAATTCCCAATAAGTCCAGTATCAAATATTTAACATAATCCAGTGGCTTGGAAGAATGTTTTTATACCATTATATTCAAATATATAGGCAAAGTATAATGGAATAAATTGGCGGTGAAAATTTTAAGAAGAGAGGACAAGAGAAAACAGACCACCTATTGCTTGAGATCTTTAAATCTCAATAGGATTGTGGAGTTCCCACGTATAAGCTTCCAAAGCTTTTAACTCAATGAGGAATTTATTAGGAATACTTTATGACTGGTGTTCTATAGAAAAAGATCTTAAAGCAAAAAGATAAACTATTCTATTAATGTATAGAACATATAGATTGGGGTTTTGTTTGTTTGTTTGTTTTGCTTTTAATGTTTAGACATTTTAATGTGATTTGAGAAGTGTTACATTTATTGGGAACTATTGAATTCATCATCAGAATCAACGGTTGAATGAAGAATTTCAAGTAAAGATGTAGGCAATCCAAGCTTTAACATGTTAAAATTTTCTTTATAGAGCCCTTCAAAGATTTCTATGTTTTAGACAGCATGCTGCAGAACACACAGTCATTAAATCATTGTCTATCACATGAATTCATTAATTCTATTCTTTTAGTGATGTAAACATATTAATTAGGAAAAAGCCCACACCAGGAGATGAACCCCTGATCTATATGCACAGTTTAATAATCATTGCACCGTGGTGATTAGAATGATTACGGGGATACTGTGAAGAATTCATTTGCAGCAACTAAGCCAACAACTTTACATTTGTTTTGAAAAACAATTATAGAGCTTAATTGGGAGCCTTGTAATGATGACAGTAGTTATTTCAGTGATTGATTCTGAAATTAAAGAGAAATGGCAAATTAAATACCAGAATATCCTATATTAGAAAATTGAAAGGTCTAGAGAGTATGCACTGTATGTAAATTCTGAAATATAGCAAAATGCTGGCACTGACACAGAACACTGCTCCATAGGAAAGGCTCATTGAGGGGCAGTGGCTATGATTTTTCTTACCTTGGAGAGAAAAAAAAAAAAAAAAAAAAAAAAGTGAAAGCAACCAAAACAACAGCAAAAAAAATAGACCAAAAAAAAAAAAAAAAAGGAAAATATGACAAAGGAATAGAACTGAGGTGCACAAAGGTCAGCTGCAATGGGTAGGAAGGGAGAATTAGTGATGGTCTACTGCTGCTTCTAAATTTCTTAATGTTAATGCATTGATGAAAAAGGAGGCAGAGATTGGCTAAACCAGATAAATTATTTAATCTTACTAGAATTTGTTCACAGAATTCAATTGATTTCATATTTTAATCAATCATTTTTCATCCTTGAAAACAAGCATCCCTTAAAAGGTCAGGATCTTTGTTTCCTCTGTACAAATTTGTCAAGATTTCCCTTGGAACACGGAGTTGCATTTCACAGCACTATTTGAAAATCTCCTTCTGACCATGTAAGAGAAATTTCTCAGGGTGTCAGAAGTAAAGCATTGTGCTGTATATCCAGGTCCAATCTTCCAGGACTGTAGTTATGGTGCAAGTTTCCTCAAGTTTTTATCTGTTCAAAGTAGTCTGCTACACTTCCATCCCTGTCAGTAAGTTCATAGTTCATCTCTGCACATAAGAAGAAATACACTTTTTTTTTTTTTTTTTTAATACTATGATCCTTCAGTTAGCTAACAAGGAGACAATTCTCCTCTTTAGAGGACTCGTCAGCATCATGCTCATTTAGGTCAACAGAAGAAATTATACAGGCTGAAGAGATGGTGATGGTATGAAATTAGGAGAAGAAAAAAAAATCTTGGTTATGTAGTTTTAGGATTTCTAGCAGTGTAATTTGTGGCATAAACATGCCCAGAGCTTGTAGATGTCAGTGTCTGAAGACCTTCATTTTTCCTTTGGGCCTCATGTGGGCAATGAAAATTCCACCCTTATATGACTAATGGTAAAGCCACAAAATTTTCCTAATCAAAACAGATAATAATTATTTTCTTTGAAATAGAAACTTTATTTTGACATTTGTAAATAGCTGTGTAACGCTGCAGATACAATCTGTTTTCTACCTAACAGACTAACAGAGACAAATCGTGCTTTAAAAAGGCAGCATTTTCATCATTAAACTATCAGGCTTAAAATTGCTGTACAAAAACTTCTTTCCCTGCTTTCTTCTGTCCTTTGAAGTATAATCCTTCTTGATTTATATTGCCACATCATTTCTGTAACTAAATTTCTGACATCATTTGTAAGCACTGTAAAACACATTTGGATACCATCTATATTATAAAAAATAAGGTAGCTTCAGTCAAGAAATATGCTGTAATCCCAGTTGGATGGATAACTTAGTTTGTATGAATAAGTTATAATTACTTTTTCTAGACATTTGGTGAACACTGGTGACTAGCATAAAAGCAGTAAAGATTTTTCAAAGAACAGAATTATTGATATCATCAAAATTGATATAAGAAGCAATCTTGTGTGAAAAATGATATAATTTTGTGATATTTAACTACATTTTTATCGTTACAGGTATGTTACAGCACGCTACTTGAGATAAATATGAATAGGATCTGTAAATTATAAGCATAATTTGATTTTTTTCCCCTCAAAGGTGGAAGCAAAATGGCACAGATATTGATCTTACCATGAGTTATCACTACAGGTTGGTTGGAGGCAGCTTGGCAATCAATAACCCACATAAAAAACAGGATATGGGAACATACCAGTGTTTGGCCACAAATTCATTTGGAACAATTCTGAGCAGGAAGGCAAAGCTTCAATTTGCATGTAAGTTGGGAAGATCATATTTATTAGTACATTATTTTCTGATTAATTCTGCAAATGAATGGTAATATACTGAATAATTAAAGCACCATTAAAGATTCTGTTCAAAAGGTTTGGCTAACTTCAGCAGTGCTTTTTTTTTTTTTCTTTAAAAAAAAAATTCCTAGTAAATATTAATAAAATAACCAGACATCTGAAGATTGCTAGCCCTCAGGAACAGGAATAACTTTCTGAAAATTGAAAGGTAAAGGAAGATGAATGTAATTATTTTCACTTAATAAAGGTGTTTCTTTTTAAGACAGTGTTTTCTTTGCTACATAGCAGGTAGTTACAATTGTGGGAAGGAACATGTCAAAAAATTAGTCTTTCCATTTTCTATAACATAATAATATCCAGCAGAGTCATAAAATTTTTGTACCTCCAATCGCCACATTGACATTTTGTTACATTAACAGAGCAAAAAACAGTCTCTTTCCTTATAGATTGCAAAATGATGCTTCTATGGCTCTAAAGTGTTTCGTATTTCAGCTCAATTGGATAAAGCCCATTTGTTGTCTTGAGCCAGTTTAAATCTTGTTTTAGGTTTGCTCTCCATTTCACTTATTCACAGCTTCACAACCTTCTTCACAATATTTATATGTGGTGACTGAGTTGTGTGGATGTCCCAAGGAAACAAACAAACAAAAATAAATAAAAAACAAAGGAGAGAGAGAAAAGAGAAGAGAAGAGAAGAGAAGAGAAGAGAAGAGAAGAGAAGAGAAGAGAAGAGAAGAGAAGAGAAGAGAAGAGAAGAGAAGAGAAGAGAAGAGAAGAGAAGAGAAGAGAAGAGAAGAGAAGAGAAGAGAAGAGAAAGAGAAAGAGAAGCCGAAGAGAGAAGAGAGAGAGAGAAGAGAAGGAAGATACGAGAAGAAGAGAAGAGAAAGAGACGCGAAGAGACCTACCCACCAAAAAAAGAAAAAAAAAAGTGTTATTTCCATTCCATTTTCTTTGATATAAAAGTCTGAGCTGTCTGTTGCTGGGAGAAAGCAATTGTTTTCAACCTCATTAATAAAACATATGTCTAAAGCCAACCTTGTGTCGCTATTTCAGACACCAGCAAATGTATTAATTATTAATCTTGTTCCATTTCTCATAGCAAATCTCATGTCACAGGGGTTATACAAAGGAGACATTAGAGGTCACAATGGTTCACAGACTCTCTTTTAGTGGAGCAGATCAAATGGTATATCACTAGTATCTCATTTAATAATGTTTTATTCTGAATTTCTCAAAGAGTGTTTGATTCCCAGGAGCGGGTCAAATGGAAACTAAAATTTTGATTAATTATTTTTTCACTTTTTCTGAAATATTTCTGCAAGCCACTTTTTCTATATGGGATTTTTTTTTTCAGGACTTGGAGATAAAAAAAATATTCAGTGAAAGAACAAATGCCATTTTAGAAAGAAGCAAGAATAGATGGACTCATAATTATCTGTGGAATCTGTAATCCACAAGGAAGCAAAATAGGCCAAGATGGGATTCGGGAAAAGACTTAATAGAAAAGGAACACCTTCAAATGAAGACTCAAAGGAAGTATAAGAAAAGTAAAAGCAAAAATTTTTAAAGGATTATCTGTGAAAGACAGAAGATGAAAAAGCTCCAGTGATTATTCAGCATGTCAGATTACTCTATAATTTCATCTTTTTCTGAACAAGTCTAACCCTGACTCAAGATCCTGGAAGCACTTTGGTTCACCACTCATATCTCTCCCAGCCAAGAGAGAACCACCCAGGTGCACCAGCTCTTAGGGTCATAAACAGCTCTTCTAGCCAGTGGTCCTTTGAGTAATACCTAATTTCCCTTCCTTCCCATGGTTCACGCATGTTTACTTCTGCCTATAAGTGGTTCATAAATGGAAAATTATGGAAAATTGTCTTCTTTTAACTCTGTAAGGATAAAGGTTTGGAGAAAGCTGAAAGAGTAAAAGAAGGAAAAGAAAGGTTACATGGGAAAGCCTCAGTGGTGTGGACATGCCTCTGTCAGGATGCTGTTCCACGTTTGCCTGTACAGCCACAAATGCATACCTGATAGCCTTTTTTTTTTTCCAAAGAGAAACTAATCAAGCTTTTTAAATTAATTTTATTTATTTATTTATTTATTTATGTACAGTTGGACCAGCAGTTTTACAGCCTTTAAAAAGCTTTGTGAGACTGAGGTTATTAAGGCTCTAAACACGGGGGTGCACCTTTCCATGGAGAGCAAGGAGGTTCTCCAAGGCCTTCTGGCAACAGCCAGATCCCTGTGGACAGGGATCTCCACTAAGACATGCAAATCTGAAAGAAATCACGTATGATTTCTGGCCATCCTGAGGCAAAGCATATTCCAATGTCATTCAGTTGATGACTCTTAGCAACTACAGAAACTGTTTGCCAGAAAATGGACTTTGTCAATGGCATTAAGTATTTTCAGATGTTAAAGCTAGGTCTTCAATACTCTGTGCTGGTAAAGTATTCCCTCTGAAACACTTAACTCCCTAATAGCTCAATGTCTCATGCCAATATAGAACAATCAAAACAGGCTAAATATCAAACAGTTCCTTTACTTAGGCTTCACATCCCCACAAAGACACTTCCCAAAGTTACTGCAGGGAACAGTTCACAATATCGTCAAGTCTCATTTGTCCACAACAGCAGCAAAACCTATAGCTATCATCTTGCTTTAATCTTTTAGCTCTTAACAGCAACCATATAGTGGTAAATATATTCCATTTTACAAAAAGTGTATTATTTTTCCATTGCCAGTGACATGAGTTTACATCCTTTCCTATATAAAAGAGATAGGACAGACAAATTGAAACTTGTCATTTGCATTTGCAAACAAAAATCCAAAGGAAAATGCTTCAGCTCAATGGTATTACTGTGAAACTATGAGTCTTAACTTGTCTCACCAGAAAAAAAAAAAAAAAAAAGCACAGTGCATGGGAAATTCTATAATGACCTGATAAGGACAATGGAACAAATTACCCTGAAACAGTTATTTCACAGTTAACATTTTATTGTTTCTTATTTTCATGTTGCCACCTAATTTACTACTTTAACCCCATACTTCAAGCTATATCTTAAAATCCAGGCAGGCAGGCATGTTGAGGTTATGACACTTCCATTCAATACCTAACAAAATGGGACTCTTCCCTGAATAGGCTTGGCATGTTATTGCAGTCACTGTGATAAATAATTGAATCAAGCCTATTATCTGAGTAACAGGGTGCATGTGTATTTGTCTTCTTACTACAGGGTAACTTTGAGTTGGAATTTGAATTAATTATACCTATGAAAACCTACTGTACATCTCAATATGTGAAAAATACTTTTTCCTTTGTTCAAGATAGTGAGCTTTCCGAGTAGCAAAATAAATGCTGTATGAGATTAGAAATATGTCTTCAGATTCTGCTGGAGTTTCATGCTTATCCTCTATTAAAAACAGAGCTGTCAAATGAAAGCTGCAGGAGGAATATTGTACAGAAGGATGTGGCATAGATTATTAAAGCTACAGGCTGAAAATGAGAGACAGCATCAGTGAGAGAGAGAGCAGAGCAAGAGCACATAAAATGCATTAGCAGGAAACATAGGATGGCAGCCCTATGTTATTCGTACTTCCCGGTGAAGGTTTGTTTTGTCATAAATAAAGTTGAAAGCTCCCTATAAATTCTGTGCGTCTCTGGCTACTCAGCAAGCAGTACATTTTGAAAAGCTAACACGTGTTCTGCAAGAACTCGAGCTGCTGATCTGGATCTTCAGCCTGGGTAAAAAGCAGTGGTGTCAGATCCCAGCTGGTGAAGCCAGAGCCTGTCACAGAAGTGGGGTCCTCCCCCAGGCATGACCACTGAGCTTTGCTCCCAAGTCACAGCCCAGCACCCACACAATGCTTCCCCCATCTCTACGTTTGTTATCAACAGCACTAACCCATGGTAGTCCTTCAACTCTACGTAGAAGAAAGGTCAAAGACAACTCCCCACGTCACCAGACACGAACACAGTGGCTCTGGGCCAGAGGCAGAGACAGCAGGATCACAGCTGCATTCAAAACTCATGGAAGAAAAATAAATAAATCAGGTTTAAAGCAGCATTTGGATACATAAAACTGGGATTTCTCCTATTCCATGACACCAAGATGTATATACATGCATGTTGATGAGGTTTTCTGCATAAATCTATTTTTATTAATGCAGATCATCTAAATTGCATTTCATGCCTTAAAAAAAGACAAACAAACAAAAAAAAAAAGCTGTTATAGAAAACTGCTTAAATACTGCTTCAGACAGATTACTATCCCGGGCACACAAGGGATTTGTTTTAATTATTTAATCGGTTTTAAGTAAAAGTAACTGTATGTAAACAATGGGTCTTGAGGGAAATCCCCATAACTAGCTGCAGTAAAACAGACTGTCCAGGCTGGTTACTAACTCTTGTAGTTCTCATACATGTCTATAGTAGAGACATTAACAAATACATAGCAGCAATAAGAAGTGCAATTAAACAAACTGGAAAAAAAAAAAAAAAGTACTCCACCATGAAAAAGAATCGTATGTGAACCTAATCCATAACTATTCCAGGCACAACCCCAGACAATTGAGTATTTTTTGAAAACATTTTGGTGGCTGGGGATCTTAAATGAGATTCTTAGCCCAACTGTTCTACCTTTATTGGTCGTCAGGCTGTCGTGGTTGCAGCTTCTCAGATCTTGGGTCCCCTTAATGGATTCTAAGAAACAATGATAACAAATTAAATTCATTAATAGAATTAGTTAATTTGTTCTGAACCACACAGGACGTGAGACCACTTTTATTTAAAAGTTTTCCACAGTGTTACAGGCTAACCACAAGGAAGGATTTTTCCTTGGCATTTTTGGGCTGCAACCTTATTCTCATAGTCTCCATTGGGGAGGGATTTCTGCTTGGTGCTTTTTCACAGTGGCATTTTTGAAACATGTACATCCTCTCTCCTCTTGGCCGGTGACAAGGTGCTCAGAACAGTGTGCATAAGACTGATGGTGCTGGAGCACTTGGAAGAAATCTGAAGTTCCCAAGTTCTCTCAAGTGCTTTTTGTCAGATAGACAAAAGACATGGTTTTGCTGAAATAACAACTTGAAGAGGCAATAATTCCTCCTGGACAGAGTTATTCCATTCTGAAAAGAAAAATAATAATCCATCATTAGTATTTAACCATTTTAGGAGAAAGATTAAAAGCAATCAAGTCCATTTAGTCTTTACTAGATCATGACAGTCAGGGGCATTTGCAAAGCCCTTTTAGAGTGACTGTCTGCGAGATGCTCAGCTACCATGAAAGCCCACTTTTCATCTGATTACTTCATCATGTTATTTACCTTTGACTGCACACAAATTACACAAACATCACAAAGCAATACAGCATGCCTCAAAATGTCATAACCCTTTTTACTTGTAGCATATGCTTTGAAACAGAAAATGGAAAAATCAATACACTTAAATCAGATCAGATAGTCTGAATTTGCAAAGTCTGGGCAAGCATGAATTTTAGTCTAAATGGCACATACTCTTCTGCATTGGTTGTATTGTGGCACTGTGTGTGTCCAGAAATCCCCCTGTAACAATTGTATTTGATTAATAGGTGTGCAAGATGTTGTAACTACCACCTTGAGTAAAGTTCTCTCGGTCTTTAAACTGATTGTTAATTCATCACTGCATGCAGGCTGGCATACCGAGCAGGCTGGCTAGCAGCTTGTATTGAAAGAGTGAACACTGCAACTTCTGTCTTTTCCAAAAGGGAAGCTTCTCAATTTAGTACTGACAAGTGATGCAGGGATGGCAAACTGCTAACTGAAGAGCAAGTTTTCCCTGACGGAGTGTGTTCCCTTATCCTCTATAGGGACACCTCACTTAAAGTCACAGACCTGCTTTAATTTAATAGCCTACAATTACAAGGTAATAGTTTAAGCCTACCTTCTTTCCTGAAAGGGTTTCCTTACACGTAATGCAGAAGCACATCACAACTTGCAGATAGATGTGTGGAGCATCAGGCAGAGAAGAGCGCAGCCCCTGTACAGCCCTCCTGATGATCTTGGCAACACCTTGCAGCCTGTGTCTTTCTGTGAGCCAGTGAGAACAAAATGCAACTTGTCTGGAGGATGGAAATGCTATTGTCACCTCTTCTTGTGTCACTAAATGGGCTTAGAGATCAAAATTACCTTCTGAGCTCTTTACCACAATTAAACAATCCAATGTAGCTGCAGCAGCAGCACCTACCTCTCTCTGCATATGGGCAGGTTGAGTGCAAGTTTCTGAATAAAATGAATTATAGCAAATATATCAAGAATTCAGTTTACTACTTGGAAATAAAGCCCATATTTTGTCAGAGCTCAGCCTGTAGTAAAAAGATACTGAACTTTTATTTATCAGCTCTGATTGCTAGCTATGGACACATTCTGCTAGTGCTCCAGCACTTTCCAGCAGCTCCCCATGGTCTACATCAAGAGCCTTAATGGATGCTCTCCCTGGAGCAGACCTGGAAGCCTCAGGCTTTTTATTTTTTTTATTTTCTTCCCTCCACCCGCATCCCACCACACACCTTCACAATTCTTCTGCACAAAATTAGGAAAAAAACATTATGAGATCCTGCTACGCTTGCTGTAAAGTATCAGCCACCTTGAATTTAGGCATTGTGTTTCCTTCAAGGCTTCTTGAAGTAAAATATTTACAGGGAATCGACTCTAAGTGGTGCAGCTTACTTGCACAGAGACCACAATGATGCAAGAGCTCACTATGTTCAACTCATCTGTTTGTCTGCCTGTTGAAATTTCTACTATTTACTTCTTCACAGAAGTCTGTGCACACACAAACTCTCACAGGCTCAAAGAAAAGTGGGAGCCATCAACCAGCATCCAGCAGTGATGAAGCAGGAACCTTGGCCAGGTTCCCCCACTTGCTGACAGTATGAGGCAGCATGACAATAGCATTTCTATTTTAAAGCTACTACAAGAATAGGATTATGCATACATCCAGATGTTCCTGAAGACAGAAAGAACAGCTTGAAATCTTAAACCCTGAAGATATGGTTATGTCTACATAACAGGCATGACAGGGGGTTAGAATTAGGTGATCTTTAAGTTCCCTTCCAACACAAACTATTCCATGATTTTATAAGGGGGTTTTATTTTCTCCATCATTCCCTAAAAGTTTGAGTCCTCTCCATTCTTAGATCTTATCTAATGAGAATCGACATCAAATGCAGTCACAGCCTCCTCTTTCTGGTTAAGCATATGAACTAGACCTGATGGCTGCAACATTCTGCTTTTATTTAATGTCACACCAGACCAAGCAGCACCAGAGACCCAAGCTGTTTTTTTTTCTCTCTCCGAGAATTTAACCACAATAAAATGGTTCAAGCCAGTTCAAGGCTATGCTATATCTGCACACTTTGTTAAAGCTCTTTCATTCCATCAGGTTGAGTTGCACTACTGTCAAATTTTTAGTTTCTTAAGCTGTTATGCTTAGACTATACCAGGTTTTCACTCCTTTCAGGCAAGAATTCTTCATCTATAAAATGGAGACATACATTACAGAGATGTTGTCAAGGGCATCACAGGTAGTAAGATAGTCAGATAAAGTAGTAATAGGGAATGCATAAGTATTTGAAGATTATCTTTTAGTTATATGTTACTATTCTGTAGTTCCTATAAAAGTGTTTATCCTAAATCATCACTCTGCAAGTTGTATTGGAAAAGCAATATATGTGATTGAGATATGGTAGGTAACAAAGCATCTACAGGTCTCAAAGCTGCTAGATTCTGATTCATAAAACTTAATATTTTTGAAGGATGAAACTAGCTGTAGTTTCAGTCTAGGTGATTTTCTTTTTATCTGCCGTACTTTCATGAAAGACAATATGACTTAAATTTCAATAAGTTATTGAATGAAACATCCTTAACATGCACATCAGCTTCCTTATTCTTTGGTCTGACAAAACAAATAAATAAATAAAAATTAGAGATGGAAACTTACGAGGGAAAAAAAAGAAAATTAATTAAATTGTTTGGAATAAATGACTCACTCCTTTGAATGAAAAGTAATTAAATCAATTTATTAGTTATTTTTGCAGTGAAGGTTGATCCTGTTTAGCTCAAAAGCTTTAAGGCATAAGGCAAACTTCTCTATTCTGTAGCTTGTGCTCAAGGAGAAGGAACAGGTCTGTGTCACCGGTACTTTACATGGTGTGAAGAATAAGGCCACAGACACCTTTCTCAATAGACTAACTACATCTGGTACTGAGCTGTACATCTGGTACTGGCACTGAGCTGTAAATCTTCATTTCTAAATGCTACTGGGGAAAAAAAAATAATAATAATGTATACCACACCTGAAAACCCACTTAGAAGGTTCACATTCTCACATTCAAATATCCTTTACATCAACCACTCAGTAAATCTTGAAATTCCTGTTCAAAGGAGGTCTTTGCAGAAGGAACGAGTGAGATAAAGCAGTGCTGTCTGGGGACAGCAAAGTAAATCTGGGACCCAAAGTAATTCTGCAAGAACGTAATTCTGTGCTGGATCAAGGTCTCTGAGGGGCTGGGCAGGAATTTGGGAAGGGCTGAAGTATGCACGGGCATGCTTGTCACACTCTTTCAGCAGTGCGTAAAGCCCTCTTCCTTGCCATTTTTTTCTTATTGTATGTATTATGAACATAGATTTTTATCTTGCTAGTAGAAATGTTGCAAAATAAATGAAAATCCCGAAGCAGGACTGTGGGGTGCTAGGGTGGAAGCACCCAGCAGGACCCTAGGCCTCTCCACAGGCTTGGAGCTTGGTGCTGGCCCAAGGGAAGGGGCAAGGTAACGAGTTGAAACCAGGTCTGTGTGGGAGCAGGGGAAAGCACAAATAAAAGAAGCCAATTTTGGATAAGAATTAGCACCTCTGCCAAGAGGTGGTTTGACCAAGGCCATCTCCAGGGTAAATCAGTCAAATCCGTGCAGCTCTGGTAGGGATAAATCTGGCCTGTGAGATTTAGACAGGAGAGAGAAATCTGCTTTTAAGAACACTCCAATCTGGAGAAAACTCGTGCAGACGGTGAAGTGACTCTGTGATGACAGGTGACAAATGAACTCTGCCGTGACAAGTGAGTAAACTGTTCAGGAATAAAATATTAAAAATGTATTTCTTTTGTCCCCCTCCCTTTGAGAGGGTCAGATCCTCAGATCTGCCTCTGGTCTGCAGATGGAGTTTAGGCTAAGAACCCTAAGGCTGCATTAACACTTAATGCTTGGTGCAATTCCTGCGTTCAGTTCAAAACAAATCTTTAATATTTTATGCTGGTAACTCTCTAAGAGGGGAAGAATAACAAAAAGCAGATGTAGACCAGCAATACAGCTTCATAGCATATGTTTCTTTGCACTGGTTTCTCAGTACACCGAACAAAAACCAAGTCAGGATTCCACCTCCCCTCTCTTTAATTTAATTGTGACCTTCCATTTTTTCCTCTAGAGAAGCTTGATATTACTTTGTAAAGGGCATTTTCACTCTTTAATTGAAAAAGACAATCAGGCCGTGGCAGAAATTATTGTTCCCCACCTTGAAAATTAGTGCCTGGATTGGCTATTCATACCATTTAAGCTGAACTGCAGACCTGGGGACAGCGTGCATCCTAATGTGTAAATTACAGGTCCGCTCCCCTTAGAAGCTCCGAAGCAATTTAACTAAATAAAGGAGCCCTGATGAAGGTCTTTAGTTGATTATGCAGCTTTGGAAAAGGACAAGACATGGATTTTGTGCATTTCGTTTGGGGTTTGGCAGGCTCTGTCAGGAAAGCCAGGCTCTCCTGACCTCCTCTGGGGGAAAGGAGAGGACAACTTTCTCTTTTAACCAGGATGGGATGCAGTGTTCACCACAGGTGCTCAACTAGAACAAAATGAGAAGCACAGCTGATTTTTAACCTGTCCTGGTCAAAGGAGACATTCAGGTGTCCACAAGGCTCACACAACTGAAATACCTTAAAAAAAAGTCCTACAGCCCCTGAGATGCTACTAGCAAAGCAGAGGCTGATGCACATTTCAAACAGGGAAGGGGCACAAGAACTTGTTAGGCGTTTAGTGGAAAATGAAAGTATTTAAAAACCAGGAAATGGGAAATGCTAAGCAGCTTTCAGACACCTTAATTAGAGATAACACCGCTCTTAATCTTAGAATTGAATTCATAGAAAATCAATTAGAACATTTTAAAAATTGAGATTAGATGGTAAAGGGAAATGATTAATAGTATTGACACTATTATCAAGACAAAGGAATTGTTAGAGGATTTGTTTAGCAAGTTTGGTACAGTTCTGAAAGCTGACAAAAGAGTTTACTTACTAAGGAAAGTTGAAGAAAGTGAGACTAGCCATTCCTTTGGGAGGTATTTGGAGAACGATATCTCCATAGCACACGTTATTGGTAACCAAGCTAAAAGAGATTTATACTAATCTCCTAACAAGCAGTTCAGTACAATACTGAGTAGAGACAAGAGACATGGCTGGATTCACAGGGGGTCTTCCATGGTGATCTGAAACAGATGATCACAAACTGTTAGCCATGTGCACAGTCTGTATCTAAAACTATTTTAAATGAACGTACTTAAAAGGAAAAAAATCCTAGAATTTTTAGATAATTTAAAGGATCCAATTAGGATCTAGTGTTTCTATTTGTATCTGTAGCACACCTTATACCCCTCAATCAGGCATGGAGTTCGAGCCAAGAATTACCAAAGGATCCCTTAATTCATTACAGTCAAGTGAAAGTGAAGGTAACTAATTGTCAGCCCATAACACAGGTGTTAGAAATGCTTATAGCAAATCATAACAATGAGCTGCTTTTAAAAACTGCTGAGGTTGTATTTTTTATCACATTGTGCTGCAAGAGAATTTCTGTTGTGATATATCACATCCAGCAACACTGATCATATTGCAATATATCATATTCAATAAGAGAAGCAAAAGAAACAGGAGCAAATGCGATATATCACAATTTGACATAGCCCCACAGAAATTTGAAGAGGTTTATTGATTTGTCCTCAGGAGCATAGCTAATTTCTAAAGTGCTCTTACATCTAGTGCCTTCGCATTCATTGCACATTTCAATAACAAGTAATTACAATTATAATATTTGGGATTATGTAATGACAAAACATTTATGAAAAAAATCAAAAGTTCAAGAAACCATGAAATTACATTAATTCAGATGAACTGTTAGTAATTATGCAAGGTGACAAATTAGACTTTCTCTAATTGTCTGTAACAATTTCATATATTAAAATACCCCAGCTTCCTTGTTTGCTGTTCAGTAATGCAGACATGTCCTATGCTCATTCTTAAAGCAAACTGGTTTGGAAATGCTACAGCTATTCTTGAGCAGATTAAGGAATTTGAAACACATGATCAGGAGGTTGAAATGAATGAGTTGTTACTTATGATTACTTTTTTGCTCCGTTGGTACATTTTCATTTTTAAAAAGTAATTCCTTAATCCCAGAAAACTGTTCATGTTTTCACACATGCTGTTGTGCAAGTTGAATATACCCCCTCCAACACTTTTAAGGCAGCTTTATGTTTAGAAAAATAAAACAAAACAAACAAACAAACAAAAACCTACAGGTGTGGATAATAGCTGGGGGGGCAGAGGGAGGAGAGAAATTAGAAAAGTTATAGATTTGTTATATGAGCAACAATTATCTCAGTGTATGTCAGTGGTAAGCTTTAAAAAAACCAAACTCATACTTTTCAGGTGTGGCTGAACCTCTGAACCTATTAATTAACAGAGGTAATTTGGCAAGAAATATTTATGTTTATCTGTAACATTGGTACATGTTTCTAGAGATCAGCATCCATCACTTCAGGTAAACACCACACCCATATCAGTGTTTGCTTGTCTTCTTTCATCGGCGGCTCAGTATTCGCTACAGTGATGGTCATCCTCACCCAAGTGATGCTCTTGCCACCTTCTGTTTTTATTGTAATTAAATACCTACATCAAAGAATTGCAAGCCATACCCTCCGTTTGCATAGATCAGCATAATTTCCTCAACCTTCAGTGGGGTACTTACACCACTGAAGGGGACTTACACCAGCTGTAAAAAAGCTCTGGCCCATTACTCCTCCCCATTCCTGCATTCAGAGGTGGAGCTGCATGCATCCACCTCAAATATTCTCACATTAGAGAAAGCTTTGTCATTCTCTGATTCAGTTTCCACAAAATACCAGATGTTTTGCTTGCTTTGAGCACATATCTTTCTTGCTTAGGTCTGCAAATGTTCCCAGCTGCAGAGGATGACTTCTTGCCACACACAGCTGAGTCCATACATTTTCACTCTTCACTGTGAAGAATCACTTTTTCACCTGTGCATTTTTCTTAGCCTACATGACCTCATTATCACATCCAGCTGATTAATTGTGCTGTATCAACAGTAACCTGACAACACCTATGATGTTGAAAATATTTTTTTTTGTTAAAACTTGTAGCTGATAGAGTAGGGCAGCATGAGGACACTCAGAAAGTGGGATAAATACAGACAAAGAATAGGGGAAAATATGGAGGAACTAGGTGATAATTTATTTATAGATCTCTGCAGAAACACTGAAGTTAGCAAATATACCATCTGTTAAATAGTCATACTATTCCTAAATGCATATTAGCAATCTAACTGTGTGCCAAACACCTGATCTAAGCTATCTTTTGAAACTCTTTTTGACAAGCAACATTATGCTTTATTAGGTTATGTCATGTTATGTTATGAAGTTATGCCAGGTAACAGGAACAGGGCGAATGGACTGGGTTTGCTCTGTTGGTGTAAATGCCTTCTCAGGACAAAAAGATGTGGTTTTGAAAAGCAGCCAGATATTCAGAGTAACAAGAGCAGAGTAAGCTATTACATTTATATTCATCTTCAAGTTCTTTTTTACACTTAACACATTTTAGGTTGCAATTAATCACTGGAAATACAGACACACACTGAGGAGGAAAAATGGAAGCAAAATTCTTTTGGGCAGAAAAGACTGCTTCCAGCCAAAAGAAACATTATTCTTGATGGTCCACACCATTCCTCTGTTTATCATCCTGGGCTACATACTGAAGACAGACAATTCTGTTACTCATTATTGAATCTCTTCTGAATGAGTTGTCAGTATTTTATGGGAGATGTAGCCTGCCTGAAAAAGGGTCCCTTAAAGATGAAGAACAAAATAAGAATGATTCCCATAATGATTTTACTCATTTTATGTTGTTTTGTTCTTTCAGAGATTTTTTATTATTATTATGCAATTAATCTTTATTCAAGAGATACTTAATACATTCATTTTATACAATTATCTATCAAATCCAACTTCACTTAAATGAAGAAAGATCATTCCTGTTGAGATCTATTAAATCTCAGGAGGTGGGAGTTGCTTAAAGATGCAGTATGAAGTCCAGAGTCAAGCACTGGAATGGTCTGTCTAAAGGAAATGTCTGTCCCTGGGGGTCTTTAAAAACAGGTTAAATAAGTATCTCTTAGGAAGGATATATGTACACTCATACCTGTCATAGACCAGATGAATAGATTAAATGATCAGCCTCCGTATCTATTTTTCTATACCTGTGATTCACTAGTAAGCACAACAGGATGAAAATCTCTCCAGCACTAGGAAAAGCTGAGCTGCTTTGTTTAACTGAGCCATAAATGTGCTATGAAAGCAGGCTCCTGCATACAGAATTTGATACTGTGCAGATTAGAAAGACAATGCCCAAATTTTCCCCACATGTAATCAAAAGTAGTCCTACTAACTATAAAATAATGCAACCCATACGACATCAAGTACTTCTAGTTTTTCAGTTTTTCAGTATTTAAACCAGGAATAATAGCTGTTATTTTAATGGAGGAACATGGACAGGTGACAAAGTTTCTTAAGTGAATAAAATGGTACGATGACATATTGTGACATTAAACTAAGAATTGCTACCAGCTACTTATTACTTTCCAGAATCTGTCCCAATTTCATTGTAAAGCTTTCTATAGCAAATTCTGAACTGTCATGAAAACATCTGCTACTGTGGCACTGGACTTCCTTTTCTTCCTCCACCCTCCCACCCTGTCCCTTTTTTTTGCCTTTCTTAGGAACTGCACGATCTGTGTTGTATTAGCAAATCAATGACAGGAAAGTGTTAGGAATGGGAAGTATGAATATTTTTGTTGCTAGAATCTGAATAAAAAGGTCTGCACATTTTTTATTTTTACAATCTTTTTTTTTTTCTACTTAATATAACTTTTCCTTCTTAGAAACCATTTAACCAAAAGGGAAGAAAAAAAGGAAAGTTGATTAATTTTCTCAGACTGAATTTTCAGAGCAGGTAATAAATCCACACATAGATAGGATAAGTAAGGACCTTTTACATATGAATCAAAACTCTGGCTAATAAGTCATATTACATCCATCCACCATTGCTCTTCCCCCCTCCTTCTGCCCATCAGTACTAAAGACTGGAATAAAACTAATATATATATATATATAAAACTTTTTTTTTTTTTCCTCTTGGACTATCCAGACTGCAAGGCAGAGATCTAGCTGGCAGGCAATTAAAAGAACATCAGAGTTTAAAACACTTTCCCTGTGTATCGACAGGTACCATCTATTGTGGCTATGACAGTGTGAGGAGGTGCTACAGCTGCCTAATTCAATTCAGTCACCTCTGAGTAGACAATGTCTTCATAGGAGACCAATATAGAGGAGATGAAGAGGAGGAAAAGAAAAATTAGCTCTGTAAAGTTCAACTAAGGGGGAGAAAATTGATATATTGACATAAATAGCTGAGCCTGTACAGGTAGTAATCATTATTGCTTTGACCAACGAGAACTGTTTCTTTCTATTGAACTCTGGATCAGGTAGTTGCTCAGCTGATGAAAAGTGGAACAGCTGCATGAAACAAGAATCTGTAGCAAGGTAAATGAAACAGGCTTAAGGCAGGCAGCACACCAGACTGATATCAAGAGTTCTAAAATGAAGCTGATATTGTTTATTTTATTAAAACATATTTTGAATGTATTTCCCAACATGCTCTGACAAAGTAATAAGTTTTCTCATTAATGTGAGAACTGGATCAAAAAATAATTAAAGCATATTATGGTATGTCTTGTAACTGAAATATTATTTAAAAGAAATGAGACTTATAAAGACTTCTACATTTCAGTGAAATGTGAGAAAGCAAAAAAGACTGTGTTAGATTCAGTAAAAAATAAATAAAAAATTACAGCCATAAAAATCACCTATGGGAGACAAGGCATCAACATTTTACACAGATCCCCTAAGCCATAACACAATTTTCTATTGAAAGCATTCTCATTTTCCCCTTTAAAACCAGTGCTAAAACTGATTTGAGTCAATTAAAACATGCCAAGTTACTGCAGACAGCTTTAGGACAGAACAGACTCATTAAAAATATGACATACTTTTATCATCATTGAAACACTGTGAGAGTCCTGATAATGTTTAATTATCATTTGTGTACATAGAAGTGCACACCTGCTCTTAATTGCTATAAAAAAGGAAACAACACATTTTTTTCCCTATTCCTGCAGATTAAGACTAATAAAATCTGATGCTAGAAAAAGACAAACTAATATACTACCTTTGCAATGGGGGATTGTAATACAAACTCATTTGTGGGGTATAAGTGCTTTATAAATAGGTATTTAATTTATTTTGCCAAAGGACAAGATACTAGGCTGGATGAGCTATTTTTCCATACAGTATGTCAATTCACATGCTGAGATTTTATTATACTATTGAATATATATGCTCTTGAGTTATCTAGAAGCATAGCATAGATTGGACTATAGTTAGGAATAAATCTGACAGGTCATAACACAGTTGTTTTCTTCTTCTCTTGCAAGATCTTGAAAATTTTGAGACGAAGACGAGAAGTACAGTGTCAGTCAGAGAAGGACAAGGAGTGGTTCTGCTCTGTGGTCCTCCACCGCACTACGGAGGTATGATGAATAACTAAATTGTGTGCAATCTGAATAAAGATCGGTTCTTACAGCTCAAGAGAAGAAGCCTATACACTTCCCCACCTGATTAGCACTAGAATTTATTTGTGAACGAAGAGTACAGGTTTATAACAAATTTAGATTTCAATTTTTTAAAGGAACATTGGGGTTTGAACTTCTTAAGGGGCCTTTTTTTATTCTACAGTTACTTGATGTACTAGAACGTGCCATTGCTTTGTGTGTGACAAGCAAAGAAAGTACCAAAGTCTGTCATGAGTGGCATTAGATTGACATGAAAATTGGTATTGTTCTTTAATATTGATTCTCTTCTTCCTGATATTTTAAAGTCATAGAAAAATTTAGTTGGAAGGGACTTCTGGACCATTTTTCCACCTCCTGTAAGCAAGAAGCTCTTGAGAATGATCTTTTGAGATTTCCTACCACCAACAACAACTCTTGCAAGTTCAACACATTCAAAAATATCTTTTGTGAGTGTTTGGGACCCAGATTCAAACTGCTTCATATCCTTTGAGTTGGGAGCAAGAACTACGGTTTCCTAATAACTAGCTAAAGATGATTGTGAATTTCACCCTGGAAAAGCAAATGTACATTAAATGGGAAAATATCAACAGCAGCGTTACGAAATTGTCTTACTCTGGACTGAAAGAATCAGCAGTTCTGAGATGAAGAATGTCCTGTTTTCAGTGGGAGTGACTACATATCCACAGTAGCTGCAGTATTCTTTGTGCTAGCACAGTGTTTCCTCAATTCTTCTTAAAGAAACAGTTATAAGACAAATTCCCATGAGAAGAAGGTAAATTGTGATCTATAAAGAAGATGCAGTATATCAAAGAGGTAGAGAAACCCATCAATCAATTTAAAGCCCGCAGGTCTTGAACAGAAAGGAAATGTCAGTTCACTTACTGTTTACAGCTGTATGAAAGGGGTATATAATCAAGGAGATAAAGTGAAATCTGGTCCTTAAGGGCACAAAGAGCTTGAAAGAGTTCCTGAAATGTATCAATGGGACAAAGACAATACATCCATCCTTGAGTCAGTAAGCTATATGTCTTCCTCTTGCTGACAGGTAAAATTATGATTTGACAAACAGGAATGAGAAGAAAACATTCAGAACAAATAAATAGTTAACAAGTGAGCTCACTCCAGATTAATTGAACTGACAAAATTATATCTATGAACAAATCCTCTGACACCATGTTTAAGCTGAAGATGTGAGCTGTTGACCAATACGCATGAAAAATACATTATCTGAAATAAGTCTCTGGAGAGCAGAAACTGAGCTCTTTTGTCATCCATAAACACTGTATTTGTGATCCAAAATTATATGCCATGGGAATGAAGTCCACGGTATGAACAATGATAAGTTGTATACTATCCCAGAATGCTTAGGAAATTTCTACAGAATTGTATAAAGGATTGTGTGTATGTATACACATATATATATATATATATTATTGAAACCCTTGCCTCTGACTCAATTTCTACAGGAAAAGGACCATTAACAGTAGCTACAGCTTCTACTGAGTACATTGGAAGAGCTCTGTAAAGCACTTCAAATGCAAGAATTAGTAATTAAAAATTTGAAATATGTACTGTACCAACAAGAAAAGAGTTACCTTTCCTGTAATACTGACATTAGTAAAATACAAGCTGTATACTAATCTATCAAGGAGGAAAATTCACTTAGAGTTTCCCACCCAACCTAAGAGATGCAGTCTATAACCAGTGCAGACTTTTCACTGGTACAAACGCTTATGTGGAATCTGAGGTTAACTGACTGGGCAGAAAAACACCCAAGGGCCATGGAAGATGGCTGCAGGCCTTCAGACATTTCTCCCTGACACCGGCTGCCTGTCTGCTCAGCTTGACAGACCCAGCTCTAACCATATACTCCATACAGGAAACAGGAATGTGTCTCTAAAAGTTGGGTCTACAAGACTTTTTTTCCACTCTTTTAAATAAAGAAGAAAAAAGAAAAACTCTGTGGTTTGGTAAAACTCAGTTGTTTGGTACAGTTACTACAGCACTGCAGGAACAGAAAGCTGAAGTCTCTCCCCTTCCTCCTAACCTAGGAAGTTGGGTAGCTGTTTCTTCTAGAAACAGGAAGAGAGACAGAAAGACAAGGGCCTAAGAAAGCAAAAAGTTTTTATCTTAAGTCTCTTCCCCTATGACATCCCCAATTTGGAATAGGCAAATGGAATGAGAGTTCACAAAATATTTCTACCACCTGTGGTAGCCACAGAGAAGCAGCCCACCTCTAGCTGCAGAGAGCAACACAGCTCTAGGAGCCCAAGCTCTCCAGCCACTTCCTAAACACAGACAGAAGTAAAGCTTCCTACAGGCTTCACAGATATCATTAGACTAGTCAGCCTTTTGTATTACATTGTTAATACTTAAATATCCTGATCGTGAAGAAACTATTTAAAACTCAAAATTTATTTGATATCTTTTACATATTAAGGTACAATTACTGTATTAAAAAACCTTGCAATTAGCTAACTGAAAGCACTCACAAAGCTCCCTCCCACTGCCTGACCCAGCCTAGTGCAGCCCCTCTATTTTCTCCCTCAGCCCCTCCTTGCCTATTTATGCACCAGCTGCTCCTCAGCCTCCGCTGTTGTTATTTATGAGGCTCATTAACACACCTTATAAAGTTCAGCATCTGAATTTCCTCTGCTTGTTAGTGAGGCTCTGGAGTGTAAGGGTGGGGAGGTAAGCTCTATTTCTCTCACTAGGAAATGTCTCTTCTCTAGCTGAGGTTCCTTAGGTCAGTGTTTTTTTTATTATTATTATTTTTAATATAGGTACACACACATTGTGTAGTCAGTATATAAAATTTCTTTATTACTTAAAAGAAAAAGGTGCTTTGTATAGAGTTAAGAAGTAGAGAAAAGCATCTAGGAGGAGCAGAAAAGTCTGGAGAAGGTCTTACTGCTGTAGCAGTGCATGAGCTTGACCTGACTGTGATTAAGAAATTGGTGCCTAAATAGTAATGCTTGACACAAGGCTGTGGGGTAGGCTGTTATTCATTTATTTTGTTAGAAGTGAAGTCTGATATAATGCCTGTTTCCTTCAAGCTGGCTCCCTGCAGAGCTTTAAGAAAGTTGCTAATCTTGTTAGGAGCAGCAGGATCGCTCATATATTTGCATTTACTTGTGCATAAGAGCTGCCAGGGCTTGAAGTGGGGATGCTGACTCTGTAGGCTTTTTTGTGTTGCTGTTACTACAGTGAGGCTGAAATAAAAAGAAACAAATCAACTCTGAAGGAAGTCAGAGCTGTACAGCCATCCTCAGTGGAGGAATACACCAAGTCCTTAGCCAGCAGAAGAGCATAGGAAACTGGTATAGGGAGAGGATAGGAGGAGACAAGCAGGGCTATGTGATGTGAAAGGGTCTTTGACTCCTTCATGTTGCTTCTGCATTTTATGTTAAACAGTTGTCTGATAACGTGCATAATATGAAAGCAGTAGTTTGAAGCGTATTTCCCTTCATGAAGCTGAGTTCCTTGGTCATTAGTTTAGAGTTGCTTTCTGTTCCTCTTTCTCCATGCTCCTATGAATCTTTAATCCTTCCCTGCCAGATCATGCAGGAGGGGGAGCGTCTCCTCCCTGACACCAGCCTGAATGCTGGTTCTGCAGGAGAAAAGCTCAATATTGATTTGAATTTGCTTGGGCTGAGAAAAGCACTGAAATGTTGTATTCCCTAAACTAGTATGTAAGCTGTGATTATCAGCTGCTGTTCTTTCCCAGCTGTGCTTGGAGAAAGGGCTCACAGCTGCCAGGCGTGGGCAATGTGCTTCTTCTGCCTGCTGGAGCCCAGGACTTGCCCAGTGTTTGGCTGGAAACTGAGGTGGGGTTAGTATCTTGGGGCCCCTGAGAAGTGGAGGGAGATGGACACCATGCAGTCACTTGTCTTGCATTTAAAATAAATAAATAAAATAAAAAATAAAAATAATAAAAAGTAGGATAGCAGCACAAAAAAAAAAAAGCAAAACACCACAAACCTATGCTCTGTCATGTGCATAATGAAGTCTATGTTGCTGTAATTATCCCTTCAGTGACATGTAGGCCTTTTGAAGTAAAGGCAGTGCTGTGCACTCCAAGGCATCCTCTTCCACAGAGTCAATAATAGCACTGGGATCACTGTCTAGAGAGAGTAAATATTTTCCAGTGTTCAAAGCTTAAATATGTTAATTTGGGCTGAGACCAATCAGCTATACATGTGAAAAGGAGCTACAGCATAATATTTATTAGGCAGTAGCTGGACAGAATTAAAAAATTAATTACCTGAAGGTGATTAATGTTTTCTAAGCTCATCTCTGAGGCTATCATAGGTGTAAAATTAAAAAATTGAAGGTAGAAACTATAACAATAATACTTAATTCTCTCTTCCATTTGCGTTTTTATGAACAAAATCCTGAAATTTTGTGGTGCTGTGAACATTATATTCTGTCATTATCTGTAGGCCTAGGAAATGGGGTGTTCTCAGAGTATAATGTTGTCATAAGGCTAGCAGAACTTTTTGTAACCTAAGGGTGTCATACTCTGTTGTCTTTATCTTTGGAACAAGTTTTAAAAAATGGGAGAGGAAGGAAATGAAATTCTGCTTATTTGGCCCTTACTTAAAGTACTACTGAGCAGGGACTGACCTTAAATTGCTCCAACATATCTCTCATTGTGCACAGTGGCACCTGTGGTCAAGGAACCTTACACTAATTTTGACACAAATAAGTCTTAGATGAGGCATAACCAGGAGTAACAGTGTTTGCCAACTGTCTTTTTGCATAATCTAATCTAAGCTTTGGAGTATATGTATTTGTTTCTGGGTAGCAAAAGCCATTTTCTAAGACACTTATATAAAGGATGAATGATGCCATAAGAGCTCATTTTCATTCCTTTCAAGCACAGTGGGGCATAGGTAGATATACTTACACAGTTTTAGCACATGAGGAAAGGACTGGCTAATTGTACGGTCCAGTGAAATGTTTTCTGCTTTATTTGTGAAGGGGGAAAATATAAACCTCATGTATTGCATAAGAAACTAATCTTAAGCAAGAGCCCCTAGAAGGCCTTCCTTCCCTAAGCATTTTTTTCCCTTCTAAACATCTACATAGTCTATCTTTCTGAAACTTCACAGGTTAACTATAGTGAAAAGAACAATTGGACTAATTGGTCTTTTATAGAAAAACCTCTATTCCCTTACTTCAGGCATGTTGATTCATTTTCAAAGTCATATAAGAAGCAGTTACCCCAGAGGAAAAGTTGCAGACATACAGGGTAATGCACAAAGGAAAAACGAAATGGAAAAAGAAAAACAAATCATTGGTGCTGATAATGGCTAAGATTTGTGCAAGACTTTTTCTGAAGCCTTTTCATAGTGGCCTCTAAAATTCAACAGTTCTGGGACTGATGAGGACATTGAATGTGAACTCAACAGTACTGTTTTTCAAAAATCCTGTGGCTAAATGGAAAGCAAAATAAGCTTTAAAAGGTAACATTTTGTTCTTCACCAAAATAGCTGGTGGCAGTAATTTTCAAGTTCATTTTAGCTAGACTTCATTAGCAGGCAACTATCTCCTTTTAAAAATTTCTCTTCTATGCCTCTGCTACCTTCTGTTGAGCATTACCTTCACCAGACTCTTCCCAGCTGCTGATTTACTTATGCAAATGAATGTGACCCCACAAGTGATGGCATGGGCCTTGTACTCCTTTTTTTTGCTCATCTAGAAGGTCTGCTACAAATCTGATTTATTCAACTTCAAACTGAGCTGAACTCATTTTCACCCATTAATTCATAGACTAACCTCATAAAGAAGCTCTGTCTAGCATAAAGCTGGCTTTGGTGGATTTTATTAGGGTTCATATACCTTATCCTACATGAAGAATTCAGCTGTACCACCAGGTCCTATGGCAGGAATCTAGATTTGGATTGCATAGTGTGGGATGACTTAGAAGTCTTTCATGGTGCCCTGTTGCAGTGGGTCGGTGATTTCTTCTTCCTTTCAAGTGCCGGCATCAGAACAGGACTTTGGGAAGGAAACTGTCAAATTCATTTTTTCCTATTTTTCCCCACTTTTTAGTTACCTTCAGTTTTGAATTACTTGGGCTACCCTGTCATGGAAGTCCAACAGGTGACCAGCTATCAGTGGTTCAATCACTCAGAGCAGTTTTGTTGCATGGAAGTATTTCCAGTAGATAATGCACTATGCCTCTGGAAGACCTGTCAGGATGTAGCTACATCACTTGTCTCTGCAGGCTGATTGACCCTATGGCAAGCCCCCCTGGTCTCCAGAACTTGATATCTATAAAGAATAGATGCTTTATTCAGGTATCTTGGGCATGTGAACACAAAAACATGGTGCTTTTCTTTTCTGTGCCTAAACACATGTACACACATGGATTGTATTATACTGCTCTAGGAACAGTTGCATCTTCTGGATTTACAGTACATCAAAAAAGCTTTGCATTAGGCTGTAGTAAAACAGGGCCTATTTCAGGATTTAGCCAAGTACAGAGAGTGTCATTGATTGCTCCCTGGAGACATGTCATTTCTAATGAGGGACCTAAAACGTTAGAAGATAACATAAAACTCCACAAAACTACTGGAGTTTGCAGACTTATTACCATACAGTACCCATGTCACAACTGAGGGAGGGGAAAGAAATGTAAATAATCTTTTTCAAATGGTATTGTTGATGGGGGAAATGTGTAAAAATGAAGCTGTTGGCGGAGTGCTGTTAGCTTATGAATTATACATTTAATTAAGGGGAGCTAAACTGGTAGATTTTGAAACTTCTGATTTACTGTGCCTTGCTAAGACAGAACTTCAGTCGCGCAGCCTGCTGAATGCCACACTGGGTGCTGGCAGCCACGTGGAGCAGCTGGGGAGTGGGGTATGCAGGAAGCCTGGGGTACCCCTGGCAGCACGGCAGGCTTGGCCCTTCTGAGAAGCAGTGTCCTTGGATGGTAAATTCAGAGTTCTGCCCTGTCAGGGTGGGTTAGTCAAATAAAATAAGCTGGCTAGATTATAGAGGTACCTATTAAGGTATGCAGCGTGAAACACTATGGAAAAAAGGTGGCATAAAAGGGCTAGTTAAGAAGCGCAGAGCAGCTGCAAGTGTGGAAGATGAGAAAGCTAGAGAAGAAGGAACAAATGTGCAATAGGAGCAAATATTAATCTCCAAAATATTCGTCTGCAGCTGAGTACTTCCCCTCCCTGAGAATCTGATGATAAAGCTCTGCTACCTGTTTCTTTTTTTCCCTATATGCAGAGTGGAAAATGGAGCCGTAACACTGTGTGATCAGCAGTTGGCTCCTGATGTTCAGAGGGAAAGTGCTATAAATAGAAATTATTTACTAAACCAGCCTTCTTATGGCATTGCAGCACTGCCATTCCTACTTAAAAATAGGCTGAAGCAGGCAAATGGAAAGTAGCAGGGGACAAAAACTTCAGTGACCTTCTGAAGTGGCTTGAAATGAGTTTAAAACTGAAGCAATGCTTATCTTGCCTGTGCTAATTTGTGCATCCCCTGTGGTCTAGTCTGTAACTGACTCGCTCTATCAGCTGGCAATATTGCACTTAAATGCTAAGAGGAAGTAAGCAGCGCTGGAAAGGATGTGTAATGTGTATCTGGTGTTTTCCAGGCTTGTCCTACGCATGGATCTTCAACAATAATCCCTTGTATGTTCAGGAGGATAGTCGGCGCTTTGTTTCACAAGAGACAGGAAATCTGTACATCGCTAAAGTAGAGCCCTCGGATGTGGGCAATTACACCTGCGTTGTGACCAACTCCGATGCAGAGCAAAGTGTGCAGGGGCCACCCACTCCTCTCATTCTCCGCAGCGATGGTAAGCTATCCTGGCATGCCTGGCTGAAAGCATGCAGCACAAGGCTGTAACCAGTCCACCTCCAGTTAGCAGTAATTGCTGCCTGTATTGAGGCTTAAATATGGTAAAGCTTTCTGAATTTATAATCTAGGTTTTGCTCAAATCTCACTTCTAGAAAGCTGTTTCAAAGTGAGTTGTTAAGGTGAGAAACTGACCTGCACATACACAAATACCTTTAGCAATGCTTTGAATTAAATGCTCACATTGAGAAGCATGTACCTGGGAAAGCATTACACAAAGTTGGATTTATAAGTTTGCTCACCTCAATTTCAATATACTTGCACTGTTTGCAAACCATCGGTGACAAACAGTAAAAAAAAAAATAAAAATAAAAAAAAATCAGTGTTATGTTTGTAATAATAATGCACAGTAGTTTTATAAACAAAACTTTTGCCAAGAGACTGCTGTTTTATTCAGCAGTCAGGTCACCTGCAACAAAGTATAATTTCCGAAGCTCAAAAGTTAATTATTTTGTACAAACAGATCATAAATGCTTCAGATCTCTTCTGTGTGTTTTCTTTCTTATCATACTTCTTTATTCTTTTTCTCACTTGTTAGTTTTAATCTTCTCCTGTTCACTCTGCTAGCCCCTGGATTGGGTACTAAACATGCAGTCTCCAGGAAACTGAAAAATAACATGGAATATTAGCTGGGTCCCTGTTAATATAAAATAGGAATCATTCATTTTCTGTGTGGGATCTCGTGTAGGATACTGAGGGAGAATCTCATTTGTATTCATTATTCTTGTTTCAATCTAAAAGATTCATACACATTTAAGAATTTTGGCTAAAAAAAAAAAAATCGGCTAAGAAAAAAAAAATAGTTTTAAAGCAATCCCATACCTGTTGCAAGATCAAATGCCCTAAACTGATACTAGCTAATCTGTGGTGTATCAAATGTTTGATGTTTTTGAATGTGATCATTACATCCAATTACATCAGCCTTTCTCAAGCCTGAAGTTCGCACTTGGCTATGTTAAGGAACTTTATGCTCCATAATTATTTCGGACATGGAAGCCAGAATTTTCTCTTGTACTCAGAACTACCTGGCATCCTGAGAAGTGACCACTTAGTGACCAGAGTCATAGGCACTGGTTATTAACAGCTAACAAGAGGTCTGAACCCTGAATTCTCACTGAAATGTTAATGCACAAATATCAAAATTGCACATCCAGAACTTGTATAAAGTTATGTGCTTCAATTCTCAAATGCAAAGAGCTTACACATTTCATGTAAGCTTTCAGCATGGGGTTGGATACCAGCCAGAAACCCTAAGGCTACTCCACAGACATGGTGTTGATTTCCATGGGTGGAACATAAGGCTCTAACAGTATTAATGATGTCCTTTCTTTTACACTGAAATTCTGTTGTACTAGACAGGTCTGAGGCTCAACTGGAGTGCTAGCTGTTTTGATGTTCAACAGGTGTGATGGGGGAGTATGAACCAAAGATTGAAGTACGTTTTCCAGAAACAACATATGCAGCGAAGGGTTCATCTGTTAAACTGGAATGCTTTGCCCTTGGAAAGTAAGATTCTTGGTTTTCATTAAAATGTGGGTTCTAACACTGTTGTACAGTGAGAAATAACATTTCTAACTGGCAGGTAGAGTTTTTTGGTCAGCATATGAATGTGAAATGTTTTTAAACTTATTTTGGTTTGTTTCTGTGCAATGTGTTCCCAAGGAAATGAGAAGCCAATAGCAGAACTGAAGCTCACTTGGCTGTAGTTGGAGCTGGGGTGAGGAGAACAAAGGCTCTATCCCCTGAGTTTTCTCTGGGGTGAGAACAAGACTGAAGTTCACAGCATTCATTGATCTAGCTGCACAGGTGCATCAGGTCTGCATCACAATATGAGTATGATTTTCTGTGGTACCTCTAAGATTGAAATTTCAGAAAATGGGCTTCTTCAGGAGCACAAACTGTCTGGAATGGGTCTAATGTGTCTCTCAGCACCCTTTTCTCAAAAGAGATGCTGAGGGGCCTTGGGATGCCTTCTGACTAAAACCTGTTGTACATTGTGCCTGGGCTGCTTACACTGGTGTACTCATCTACAGAAGTAGTAGTGTGCTCAAACTAAAAAAAAAAAAAAAAAAAATGCAACTAGCCTATGAAAACTGGTTTTTGCAATAAGTGTCTGTTTTTCCATCAAAAATCTAAAATAACCTTTGGATGTTGACCTCTGTTTAGTTTAAGTTCACTTTGACAGTCCTTTTTAAGGCTGTAAGCTTTTAAAGTGTTTAGAGCTTTCCCAGAGGTTAAAAGCCTGACTTGCAGACAGCACAAATTAATCAAATGTTCCTCTGGAACCTATGCTGAGAAGTAAAAAAATAAAATAAAATAAAATAAAATAAAAATAAAGTAAATAAAGTTAAAAAGATGGGGAATGGCCTTTCTGTACAGATGAGATTTGTGTATAAATTAATCTCAGGGCTAATTTTTATTTTAGGAGGGAGAATATTTCTATAGTCATAATCAAAGGAATATGATATTTTTTGGCCCCAAACAAATACCAGACTGGCACAGTCCTGCTAAAGCTGATTTTCCCTTCCAAATACTGTCAAGCTACTTCTCTTTAAATACCTCTTTAATTGTGTGTGAGTCAGTGCAGGCTTTACATCTCAAGTTGTCATTTCATATTTCCATCTGTTGCATGGAAAGCATTTAACAGTGGTATATTGACTACATAAAAGCATTTCAAAACCAGTAAATATGTACAAAACACTGCCTCCTTAATGAAGGGGAAAGACAGGTCATGTCAAAGCTTGTGTGATGCATTAACATTTTAAGAACCTTTGGGAGGGAGGAGGAAGGTGGTCTGAAAGGACATGTGGATAATGAAATATCTCAGCAAGCACAGTACGTACTGTATGTGTAGGTACACAGTACCTACTAATGCTGTGCCTGGAAAATGGAAGGGCTGAGAGGGTTAACGCAGCTTTAATATACACTTTAATATACATTTCTCCATGTGTAGCATGGCAGCTGAAACAAGTGCTGGTATACTTCCCTGGAGTTTTCACTAAGTAAATACTAGCGATCCAGGAGCAGAAATCTTTTCCACATTTTTTTGATATCATTCTGTTCCTATGTACATAGTCTAATGTATACGTTCTGGAGGGGTGCTGTGTGTAAGTAAAGGCTCTTGAGAGGAGTGTTTAAATTTCTCCTCTCGAGATTTTTTGGATAGGTTAGATGTCTCATACTGTACAGGACTGTTCCCAGTCTCTTGGCTCTGAACAGAACCTCGAACCACATCTTAAATCAGTGAGTGAGTATTCTGGAGCTGACATTTGTGTGTGAATAAACCAAGAGAAACAGATTACAGGTGAAATACTCTTCACTTATTAGATAAGACTGGCTTTTTAAAGGTATGTAGGTGATTAGTGGTATTGTTAAATCTGTTTCCTACCTCCAGCTGTTTACAACTGTAGTTAGGCACATATAAGTGCAGCAGTGTGGCCATCTGCACCTTTAGATGCCTAAATTCCACTAAAACTCTAGCCTCTACCATTGTCTGTTTATGTTAAAATCAATTCAGCTCAACATTTGTTGAGCTATACCTCTGATCTGCCACAAGCACTAACGGTTATTATCTCTCTTGGATTTCAGAACTGCTTTCCCATTATCCATAATTTTCTATATTCATACTGTTAGTCCACTGGTTCAGACAATGCTGTCAGCTGCTACCACTTCTGCACCATGAATAACAGAAATCTTTCACATCTGAGGCAGATTATAGGCAACCTGCTGTGGTTTTGGTCTCCAGAAGTCTTAAATGAAAGTACTTTCATGGTATTTAGAGAAATAGCATCTCTCTTCTATATGGAATAGCAAATCATACTCTTGGACGTTGCTCAAAAAATCACTTCCACATTTAAACACATGTACAAGAGGCCAGACTAAGGGCTGAGTTTTAAGACCTTTTACCTAGGGGAACTCAAAGCCACTTAACTGAGAAGTACCTTCCAGTCAGACTACAGAACGCACAGAGGTGGTTGTGTTCCATGTACCTTCTGTGGAAGCTTTTTGAGAGCTCGAGGGTTACTGGACTCTTGCTATCAAGAAGCATTTATGGTCCCTCCCATTGCAATCTTGCGAAGCTCTCTTCATGCATTTTACATGAAAATGTCATAACTGATTCATGCAAATTGTCTTCTAGTATAGTTATAAACACTTTATTTATTTTTTTTTTTTTGAAAATAAATGGGGGGGCGGGTGGGGGGAGAGACACGACATGACAGGGCAAAGAGTCGGTGTTTATGCCTGGGAGGAAGAGGGTTTGAAGGCATGGATCCCACAGAGCTTGGGCCAGTTCTCCTCTAAATCCTGCAAAACAGACCATAAATAATGGAGAAGCTTTTGAAAAGCAAGTTAGTCCTCACTGTGATGGAAATATGACTGGGCAAAAAGGAGGGTAAGTAGCATGCATCTATATGGTGATTGGCATGGAGAATCCCTGAAAGTTTCTTCCAGTCATTGGGAAGTGCCCAAGGCCAGGCTGGATGGAGCTCTGAGCAACCTGGTCTGGTGGGAGGTGTCCTGTCCATGGCAGGGGTTGGAACTGGATGATCTTTAAGGTCCCTTCCAATCCAAACCGTTCTATGAATTTAGACAAAAAAATACACAATTTAATTCTTTGAAAATGGAAAACTGAAAAATGAAATACTAATGTGGCTATTTCAAATACTGCAGCCTGTGGCAATTTAATAGAAGAGATGAGACTGTGTTCTGCACTAATTTCATTATGTTGGCAGTGTTTAATACTATGCTAGTATTAAGTCATGTTTTGGATCAAGCTATATTAATCATGCAATATATCTAAATTATTGTTTGCTGTGTCTTAGGGGACTGAGTATGATGGAAGGAGTTGCTTACAGATACATTCAGTTGAGTTACTGTACTTTTCTATTGATTTCTTCCAAAATAACCTTTCTGTTGTGCAAATAGGAATAGTTTCTGAAGTGAAAGTAAGTGAAGTAGTTTCCATATCTGATGCACATATTTATTAAGCTGTGCTTGTGTTTTACTTCTAAGATAGGGAGATAATCTGTTCAGAATCCCTGGAGATGTGATTTTGCCAACCGAGGCTGTAAAGGGCACATATAAATAATATAAACCAGAATTTCTTTTAACCTAGAATATATATATTTTTTTCTAGGGGAAGATGTTAATCCTTCCTTCTGTAAATGTCTTCAGAGAAGTTTTTCTAGAGTTAGTGAACGTAGGTAATTACACAGCCACGAGAGGGTTCCAAATAACCATCTGTACTGAAGTTGCATAAAGCACCAGGTTTCACTTCTTCATTAGATGGTTACTCCAGTATATTCTTCAAGATTTTATGCAGGAGGCTGTAGAAGTATCAATTACAGAATTCTAAATGATATGTATGATTCATTTTTTCTGCCTTAAGTGGTTTGCTACTTTCAGCCCACATTTCTGATAGAACAAGTATCTTAGTATTTGTACCTTAAGGGATGAGCAAGCAGCTCTTGCAAGATCCTCTTACATTAACGTGAATGGCATGTGACCAGAGCAGAATGAAAGGCAATATCAGGTTTCAGAGAATTTTATCTCTCTGGTGTTTCCCAAGTAATACATCAGAATGATTAGGAGTCTGAGTACTTTAATTATTAGGCCCCTTGGTTCCTAACTCTTCCTTGTGTCAGTAGTTGATGCCGACACGATAGCAGTTTTCATACCTCAGCTCTGTGACAGTTGTTTAACTAGGCATAGCCTTCATTATTGAAGCTGGGATTTAATTTTATTGTGAGGTGTCCTCAGATGCACAGGGCGAAGAGGTGGCCCAGGTGTGAATGCATCAGCTGAGTGTTTGCTGCAAAAGGGTGGGACCTTCATCTCTGTGTGGGGTGTAGTGCTGTAGATGAATTAATTTGATGTTCAGTGTGACAAGACTTGTCACCAACCAAAAAATATTTTCCATCTCCTTTTCTTTCCAAGTTAGTAACTTATGGTTTTGTGATTCTGCTGTCTGTATGGTAGAGTATAAATTAAATTAGTAGCTGAGCTCAGTACTTCTAGGTGCTCTGAAGGTTTCAAATAAACTACAGATTTATGTACAAAGACACTCATATTTATGCACTGTTTTATTTACTCAGGTGAAAGCAAGACTTGTCTGTGAAATGTAATAAATTTGAAAAGTATTCTCATTGTTTAGATATTCAAAAACTTCTTAGCCCCAAGCAATTATCTATTCTAATTTGGTTATTTTAGTAACTAGAAAGACCCCCAAGTTTCAGGAGAGCCCCAAATCTGTATGGGAAGATATTAGTCTGTGTAAAAATGTCAGGTGCTGGCCTTCAATAGGATGATTATGCAGCATAGTTCACAAGGCTGTAGTTGTTAAACTATACTTTGCATACATTTACCTACAAGAATACAAATACCTAAAGCATCAATTTGTTCATAAAAAAAAAAAAAATCATTACAGTAAATTCTATGTTCAGTCTTTTTAAAGCCATTCATTTATTTTATTTTTTTTTTTTACTGTGAAAGGTTTTGTATGGCCTGCGGCGATAGTTGTGTTAAGAGATTTTGTTATAAAAATGTAAACTAACATTGGAATGTTAGTTTCTGCCAAAAAACTGCCTTCTGCAAAACGATGATTAAAGATGTTGAGAAGCCTAAGGTGAGGAGGTATCAGCAAAGGCAATGAAGAAGTGCAGACCTTTTAAACTCCCTCATGATATCAGAGGCCCTGCTGTGGGTGGTGGCATGCAGCTGAGCTCTGGCTCCTCCTGCAGCCTGCTCGTTGAACCCATACCTCAGGCTGCTGAGGAGCTGCTCTCTTGACAAATGAATTCCCTCTTTTGATAAAATGAGGCCACTTGGTGCAAGCATCCCCAGAAGAGCAAAGTGCTGTTAAGTATTTATTGCAAGTATGCATTTAAATACAGTAAAGCTGATAACCCAGACTCGGTTTTGTCATCTCGCTGCAGTTAGCGTCAGAGGCAGTGCATTTCCTTCACTCTTGTTAGGAAGGATGGGGCAAACAAGGAGGAAAGTTTGCCTTGAAACATCCCCAAGGATATCATTATAAGTATCTGGCGAGGAGAATTAAAACAGGACAGTGGTTTCAATGCCAACCTTGGTAAACTTGACAAGTTGACAGAAGGGGCCCTTTTCCATAGAGCCCTGCCTCTGGCCTTGGTGTCAGTCAGGCTTCCTGCATGCAGTCAGTGCTAAGAAATAAACCTAATAGAATAGGAAATATTTAGATGAAACATTTTAAGGTAGCAGGGCAAAACTGAATGCATCTAATTGTCTGTCTTCTCCCACGTGATGTTAGCTTCCTTTAATCTGTTTCTTATTTAAAAAGAAAAAAAAAAAAAAAGGTGCCTTTAAAGTAAGCAGTCAAATGCTCCTGGCATTCAGGGTGCTGGAGGATTCCCTTATACAGTAACTATACACCAATTATTTAATATGCTATAGCGTTTTAAAGCCAGCCACACTCTTCCTGCATGTCATCAATGGTCTGTGTCAATCTATCGCAAGACTGCAAAATACTTCTGGCTGTTTTCCTGACTTGATCACAGCAGCAGTGGGACAGACCTGTTCTGCACAAGAGCTATGTTTCTTTTAAATGAATATAAAGTAACTTGGTTTGGAGAAATTCTGCATGAGTAATGTCACGTAAGGTTTGGTGGGAATAGGCAATGCCTTAATAGGTGGGCCAGTGCCTTTGACAAAGTCTAGTCCCCCTAAAGTTCCTAGTAGGAGACTAATATTAAATACGTTTGCATCTCATATAAGTTCTAGTCTCATAGTGAAGGACAAATAGTGGTGGTGATGGCAACTACTGCTGTCCAAAAAGATTGGGTATTTAAACTACCATCTGTAGATCCTGAACCAAAATGGGAAACAGAAGAATAAAATCTGTTCTTTCCAGCTCCTCCACTGGTTAATGCTGTCTGACACATCCCAGTCTCTCAGGTGTGTAAATTGCTCAGCTGTGTTGGAGGGGTCATATGAGAGTCAGAATTTGTGTGTATATGAATATATGCACACACACATCGGTGCAGAGCTAACTCCAGAGTCTGAAACATATTGCAGATGGTTACAAACCACTTTCACAGGCAGTTCAGTTATGATGGAAAATGAGGTAGCTGGAGAAATTATTATGCTGTGTAAATAGCTGCTAGACATCCCTTGGTTAAATCTGTGGCCTCGGGACTGATTTTTTATTTTATTTTTTTCAGTTTTAAGGAGCACAGGAAGGACTGTTGGGGGCTCCCTTGCCCAGCTGAGCTTCTGTGGCAAAGAGTCTCCCATATGCAGCCTGTTCTGTCTATGAGCTTAAATGCACGACTAGGCACGCTTTATGGCATTGCTGTTCCTTGTACATCAGAGTGGTCCAGCTGTGAATTGCCCTGCACTTAGTCTTTTTCTGGTGGCTGTGTATTTGTAGCTGGTTAACATCTGGCCAGTTATTCAATCCACATAATTTGCCCAGTGCCTGCACTTCTGGACCGGGCCCTTCTGGTTTTGGGTGGTCTCATAACTATCCTCGGCACACAGCCTCAAAATGTGGGAGCTACACCTGAACTGACAGCCGTTATTGTCTCTTCTAAAAAGGAGTAAATGCTTTGTACATCAGCGCTGCGGGCCAGAGACCTTAGGGACCAGCAGGCAAGGGCAACACACGCTTCTGCTTTCCATGAAAGTTATCTTTGAAGTTTAGTACCAAATGTTTGCTATTGATGTTACTTCCTATGGGAAAGTGGGCAGCATACAGAAGCCTCTGTAAGAAGCTGTTCGGAGTGTAACTGCTCGCCTGCTTAGAAAAAGCAGCTTACTGTAGTTTTCAGTAACAGAAAGCAACTGTGAAATCCAAGACTATTAATATTTCAAAGCGTTCTGGTGACATAATAGATCATGAAAGCGAGGCTTGTATGGTTTGCGATATTACCAGAAATCCAAGAAGTATTTATAGCCTTCTTCACACTTGACTATTTTTTATCATATAGAATACATTGATCCAAATATAAATGAAAATGATAGAAAGCTACAAAAACATGAAACAAGAAATATTCTTTTGTCTCTATCTCCTTTCAGCCTCAACGTCTCATACTTTCCATTTCCTTGCTCAGCTGTCTTCCTTCCCTCCTCTACCCTGGATCCCATTTTTTATACCTAGATTTATTGTTCTTTTTAGCTCCTTTGAATTCTTGTCCAGTTTTTCCTATTTTGAGGTGTGAGAATACCTTTATTGCCAGAGGGAACTTGTTTGCTCTGAAAACCAGTCAATAATTCAGTGCTTCTGTGGTGTTTATTTGGACTTCCAGAGTTGTCCCTTCACTGTAAGTGTTAAAAGGCAGGATTGGACCCTCAGAGTTACTGTGGGCAAAATCCAAATTGGCTTTACGAGCAATCAAAGTTGATTGAGGACTTCACCCCACAGTTGGACTTGTGCCCCTAAATAAGTTAGGTGAGTTATAAAACCTCAGTCTTATGAACCTCTATATGTCACTCCTAGAAAGTGAAGTGATTTCTTTTTTAAAATATTCTGTAAAAAGGATTTCACGTTATCTTTTCTGCTATAACAAATGCTCTCTTTTTCTCTAATGAAATATAATTATTTAGTCCAGTCCCTAGTATTAGCTGGAAGAGGTCTGATGGAAAGTCACTGACAAAGAAAATCAAACATGACCAAACTAAAGGAGTTCTTGAAATCCTGGATGTTCAGCAAGAAGATGAAGGTTTTTATGAATGCGTTGCAGGAAACATTCGAGGAAGAAACATTGCAAGAGGTCAATTATTTGTCTATGGTAAGCAGATTGATTAATTTCTTCATTTATTTTTTTCAGAGCTTGATAGAGTTCAGATATATTTTGTATATCAAGTCTATTAGCCCCTTACTGGAAATATGAAATGTAGTTCAGGTTAAGCTGATTAAAAAATGATTGGAGGTCTGCAGTGACCTTCACTGAATTACATCCTCAGCAAATAAAGATATTTTGCATTAAAACTCAGATTGAAAATGTGGGCTGTGCCGTGATGAAGTTGTAAAGGTTAATACAAGGCAGAAAAATCCCTGGTACATTTACATGAAACATTAACGGCGGGCAGCGATTTACTCTCAACAGCTCACAGCAGTATAAAGCTGGCCTAGATGCAGATTAGGGAAGGATTCATGAGATTTTGGTTCATATATGTAAAAGATTTTCACCTTCTATTCACCTTTTATTCTAGCTGAACCTTGTTGCTCCATAAACAAATGAGGGCAAAACTGGGGAAAATCATCTTCCTGCCTCACTTTCCTTCTTCCTCTCCCAAAATGGGGAATAATACTTCTGTGAAACTGTTCTCTCATTTGTCTTCCCTTCCTACACATTAATTTCCTGTGATCCATGGTACACATGATGCTCCATTATAGCCAAGGTGAATTATATTCTGTTTGGTCCCATTTTTAATACCCACAGAAAGTAACATATTTGGACATAAGAGATCTGGAGATCTTTTTGTTGCCTTATGAATCTTTCAAAATAAGGGAAAATAAAATATAGCAGTAAGATGACAAGTACAAAGAGCTAGACTATAAGCCTATAATTAATATCTGTTCAGACCTTGGCAAGTTTTTGTTTTTAAGGAAATCTCTTCTCATGAAATAATACAGGCTTTGCTAAACTCCTGCAGCCCTGGCTAAGATCAAGATCTATGCCAGGAAGAGAGCAGTCTGCTGTTGCTTTGAATGTTTATTTCTTTGCTTTTATGGGGGTTGTTCTTGTTTTCATTGCCCACTAATTTTCACAGAATGTCAATCAAGCAGTTCCATTAAAATTAAGTTCAGTAGATTACCTGTGCATGATTGATAACAGCATAGGCAATTACAAACTAATGATCAGTTAATGTAATTTGAAACAATGTGCTTATTTATTGCGCTTTGTAAATTAATTAATAGTTGTTCATAGTGAAATATATAAACAGCACTTGTGAAGCATTTGCACAAGGTTTTATCATATTAGGAGTGTGTTGGGATATTACCTATTTAATTTACTTCCTCTTAATTTCTGTGCTGCTGTGGTTTTGCTTGCTGTGTAGGCAGCTCGTCTCTAGGAACTAGAGTTTCTTGGGCACTGGCTGCTGCTTTGTTTGGTATTTAGATCTGTGTCTTAGGCTCAGAGAGCAATGAAGATGACACATAATTAGAATCACTTAAGCATTGGGGGGTTTATCCCATATACATGTACTTTCCTGTTGCTTGAAACAGGTGTTTGGCATTGTTGTAATCTAATGTTGAACCACTTCAGGGTGCTTTGTTGGGGCACAGTCATGAGCTATCCCCTAGGATCATGCTATGGAGGGAGGTTTTTTTAGTACCTACTTCTGCTGCCTCAAAGGGTAACAATACTCTTCCTAAAATAAAATTATTGTATATGAGAACAGTCTGTGTTTACACATGCTCACACATGGAGTCTGCAGAGTTGACTTAATAACCCAGTGAAGAATCTGTAAAGGGATTCTGAGACACCAACCACATATCCTAGACACGGAGGGATGCAAGCTTGCAAGTGGCTTTGGTGTATCTCAAAGCCAAGTGGTTGTTGGTCTTTTTGCCTAGGTTTCATTCACCTACATATTGGCAACTGTTTGAAGTGTTGGTCTGCTTCATGCTAATTCCTGCTCAACTCCATCATTCAGTGCTTAGTTGTGTGTTTACAGAACTTGTGTGGGATTTTTTTGCAAATTTTGCTTTTATGCAGCAATGAATTTGTTAATGTGTCACAAATGTTCAAAAGCTGTTCTGAATAACACTAATTCCTTTGTGTAGTACTTGTTGTAAGTTACATCTTACTTTCAACATGTGCTAGGAAACCCTGGTCTCAGGTGTGTGAGTAAAACAGAGGGGTAGCACTTGATATCTGTGAGTTTGATTAACTACTGAATAATAATTTGGATATTTCTCCTTTTGGTACAGAGATCAAAGAACATGGAGAAGATGGCTGGCTTTCAGAAAGTAGGGGTCTTATTGCTTTCAGAAAGTATGCCCAGAATTTCAGGCATCTATAATAACTGCTTGTGCAAATCTTGGCCAAAAAACTGAATAATATCTAATCTGAATTTCCTGACCGCTTCCCAAATTAGTCTTGAAGTTCTGTGCTAGAAGATTTGTTATGTGGAATTCACTTGCAATATATTATGAATGTGTTGGTCAACTACTAATTAGCTTTTGTCAGTTCATTAATTAATGGTAGTGTAACTCCAGCAAAATCATTTCTCCTGCTTAAAATGGCTTGCGTATTCTTTTCAGCACTCCCTGAATGGGATAAAAAAATCCAAAATGCCTTTCTGTCTCTCTATGACAGTTTGTTTTGGGAATGTAAGGCAAAAGGAAAACCAAGCCCTTCCTACAGCTGGTTAAAAAATGGCCAGCCTCTCACATCAGAGGTAAGGTTCCTGTCTTGTTAGCTTTCTTGTTCATCTTGGTTTTACAAGGTTTAGTCGCAGTATTCACTTTACAACACTACCTTTTTCATAGATTTATTATGCTTAATATATGAAAATAAATAGCACAACCTCTTTGCAACACAAAGCTTCTACTTTGAATTCATATACATTGAAATGTATAGTATTGTCAGTTATGATTTCTTACAGGGACATCTGAGTGCTACAAGACATGACAATAACATGGATGAGTTTAAAAATAGCTATTACAGGTAGTGAAAGAGGACTCCGTCCAGAAATAGAGAGCACATCTGTAGACAGTCTGTAGTTTGGGAAGTCAGTAGGATGCCAATTGACAATGGAGGAGTATTTCAGAGCAATCTGGTCAGCCTGTTAACCTGCACTTTTCTGTGGTTTCTGCTCTTAACCTGTAGGCAGAATGGACCTTTGGTCTGATGCAGTATGGCCATTTTTATGCTATGTTAGTACTTTAACTGAATTAGCTCTGAAAATCAGTTAATATTGAGTTTAATATTTATATGGTGCTATGTAGAGGAATAACAGACCTAAGGAAACCATATAAAGTTATAAGGAAATGGAGAACATGTGGAAAAATCTCACTTAAAGGACAAAGAAGGATGACAGTGGAGAGAAGTAATGGAGTGGTAGGAGTGGGGTACAAGAGGGGAAGTCAAATGGAGTTTCAAACACTTAAGCAAGCAAAACTTATGCCATTAAGTTTTTGAGAACTTGGCTTTGGTTCTTTCAGGGCAGTATAATTATTCTTTTGTGATGGCCAAGCTTTGGCACATTAGTCTTCTAAATATCTGTGGCAAGATTCAATGTTTATGTACTGCTAAAGCCAACTTTCCCTTTTAATTAAGCACCTATGCAGTATCTATTGGGTGTAAACATACAGAAGCACTTTCAAAACATATAGGTTAAATTAACACCTACTGGGTTGCAAAACCAGCACTTGTTTGATTTACTAGTGTATATTTGAAACAATGGGAGAAAGGTCCAATCTTCCTTATGATTTTCTTCAGGATTAGTCCTCAACAGAGTTCAACTAGCATCTGAGAAGGCTAGCTAGAATTTACTTCGATTGCAGTTTTTCAAAACCCAAGAGTTTTACTCATATTGTCACCTGTCCCTAAGCAAGATTATCTGGTTTCTCTTTTTGAAGACAGTGATATTTAGAGTCTGTTGCTTTTCAATTGCATCGTTTCAATAAAAAAAGGATAAAACACTCTACAGAAACATTTTCAACCAACACTTTCAGAGTACTCACAGTGTATTGTAAATGGAATACTTCAGGCAACAAAATGCAGAATGTCATTGCTCAGTGGACAAAATGGATATTTTGGAGGTGAAAGTACAAGAAAGGTATAATAAAATATTAAGTCTGTCACAGCACCCTGCTTGTTGGAAATATCATGGGAAGAATACCTCCCAGACACTTTCCACCTTGGGACTTCGTCTAAGGATATTGTCTGCTCTCTGTCAAACCTTTTCTCCCTGGCCACCTAGTTGGTCATCTCTGCATTATTCCTGCGTGTGTACATGGTGTGCTTTATTCTTCTCTTTATCTATGTAGCTCAAAAGAGCCAGCTGAGAATCGTGGGGAATTTGGCATGTGTATGAAGTGTGAGTGTTGCTTCAGAAGGGGGTTTTATTCAAAGGAAGTTTGTAAAATAAATAAATAAGTAAATAGAATGTACCAAGAGGATAGCAAACAGCCTGAAGGTAAAACTAAGTATGCGGAATATATCTGTAGCAAGAGCCTCAAAAAATTAACAGTAGATAAGTAATGTAATGTTGTTAATTAGTTTGCAGTGCACCAGCCATATAACTGCAGGCTGTGCTCATCATATTTCCAAGCTAAACAAGGTTGGACTGGGTCAGTTTTTGGTTGAGAGACCTCCAAGGAAAAGCCAGAGTACTAAAAAACAGTTCCTTGGCTCAACAGGCAACTCTCTCCCCTCTGCAGTACAGCAAGAGAAATTCCCTGACAGGGATGCAAAGAGCTTACCTGTGGCAGCTTAGCAAGTTAGGCTGTACGCATTCAGCAAATCACAAATGTTTTAGGTGCTTATAGGTGTTCTGCAAAGGACTGTACTATTTAATGTAACAACATATGTTCCTCTTACTGTTTCAGAGGCAGTAGAGTCACACTAAAATAGTAGCATAATAATAATAGTAATATCCCTTCTCTGATGTGCGCTTGGTGATGGAATTCCCTGTTGTTCTTTTCTTCCACACCAATATGTTTTGGAGAACACATTCTCTCTTACTTCTCAGTGTTATGTTTTGCTGTGGAGCTATGATTGTCTCCAGAAGTTAGCAATGGTTAATTTGCAAAATATTTAGATTAAAGTTATGTTTGCATTATTACGAAATGTTCTTTATTTCTTAAGATAAAGCAAACAAAACTCCTTTTAATGCACCCAGAAAAAAAGCTGTGGTCCAAATTTACGTACTGTGCAGTTTCCTCTATTTCATCAGAATTACATCAAAGCAATATATGGTGAATACAAATTCAAGCCATGAAGAACATGTTTTTTTTTTTTCTGACTTGAATAGTTACCTGTGGGTTTTCAATAGGATTTTAAGTGTTGGTTTCAGCAGAACTTTCAGTGGATCATTTTTCTGTGACGTGGAGGTGATGATATTTTAAACTTCAGTTATTTGAACACCTCTGTCTCCCGCAGAGTCTTTCTGATCATCTTCAATTATCATTGTTAGATTTGTCTAATAGAAAAGGAGGGTAAATCATCCCTCACCATGCCCCTGGAGAGGGATGTAGGTGCTGCTTCTCAGGAGCCATATGGAAGATGCTCCGGGTTTCCAGCATGGTGCAGCCGTGCCTGCCCTCCGGTAGCTGCTTCTGTCTTTTTCGTGGTGAAGCATGCCCAGGTTCACAGCTCGGCAAAGCAGGCAAACACATGTCACAGCTGGAACATCTGGGGAAACCTGCCCAAGGCAATGACTCTGCAACATGTGCCTTGAAAAGCTTTGAAGAGTTAGGGTCTGAAAATACATCCATCATAATTGATGTATGCATTGTAATTCTGATGAGTCTGTCTAACGTGATTTCCAAAAATATCTCCACTTTGAATTACCAGCATGATACCAAAAATCTTTGGGATTGTACATTTATTGGCTCTGTCAATGTTTTTTGCTTGTTTTTCTTTTATCAGGAGAGAATCCAAATATACAATGGAACTCTTACCATACCGATGCTGAATATGTCAGACTCTGGCCTGTATCAGTGTGTAGCAGAAAACAAGTATGATACTATATATGCCAATGCTGAATTGCGGGTGATAGGTGAGTAAATGTCATTAAAATGAAGACACTGAGTATAATAGGACATTGCTTTCAAAAATCTGAAATTAAGAAATAACTAGATTATATTCCACGTGGCAGTTCAAGCACAGTTCATGTTTCCTTGCTTGTGCTTCAAGAAGCTATGTGGGAATGTTTTTGGATTTCATGGCTGGTTTAAGGGCAAAATCCTAATCTCATTTGTAGTCTGTTTTTCACATGCACTCAAGTTTAAAGAATACTATTTTTCACTTAATATTTTGAGTTATTAATAGCTATTCTGAAGTTTTAAAAATCATTTCAGGAAGTGGGAAAAATAGTTCTAACATTAAAGAACATGGCAAATGTTTATATAAAAGTAAATAACATACAACAAATAATCTAAATGATTACCAGAGAACCACATAAAATATAAATTTTTCACGTTATAAGTGTTCCCCTATCAATATGAAAATATAAAGGTTGTTCTACAGCCAAGTACTGCTGAAAGTGGTAAAACACTGACTTCAGGAGTAACTAACTGTTGTAGGTCTTAAGGAGAATTTTCCCATAAAATACTGCACATCTGTGCATACACTTTGAGTCAGTTAATAAAGAGAAAATTATTGATAAATTGTAAATGCATGTTCTAAACTCTGCAGATGAATACCTGTGGCTAGGATCAGGAAAAGTGTTTATGCTGCTGATGAAGCTTTGCTCAGGAACCTCCTTTGCAGACAGACCTCTTCTCTCAGTCTGCGCAGAATCCTGAGGAAGGATTGTGTGACTGGAGACTTTAGAAACAGCAGCATAAATGAGACTAAATGAATTCTGTGCTTTGGTGTTAAATTATATTTTTCACGTTTGATATATCCACTCTTGCAGAAAGCTTAAAAGCAAAGCAATTATTGGATTCACCTACTACGTTACTCAGAAATTAGCTAGTTCATTTAATAACTTGTCAACTGCATACCATTGTGCTCTTTATTTTTAGCTGCGGCCCCTGATTTTTCAAAAAATCCTGTGAAAAAAATCTCCATTGTTCAAGTTGGAGGTGAAGTTACAATTGGTTGTAAACCAAGTGCTTCTCCCAGAGCAGTTATTAACTGGAGAAAAGGCTCAGAGGTGCTGCGGCAGAACAAAAGGTACTGTAATAAACTAGTTGCTGGATTGTTGGGTGTTCTGTTTTAATATAATTTAAACATCACTGAAACACAACTGACTTAGTATTGCTTTTGACAGCTCATTGACAGAAAACTTTGATGCCAGAGGCCTGCTCTTCTTTAGCTGTGGCCATACAGTTCTGCAGCTATAAAGCTGATTGAGAACAAAGACAAACCGAATACACCCGGGTAATTGTATGATACATAAGCTCAAGTTCATCAACAGTTAATTCACTGGAATACTATCAGAGCTGACTGTTTACCACATGCAAAGCCTGAGTGAATCAGCTTCATGTAGGAGACATCAGTGGAGGCTTCAGAGAAGTGGAATATACCCTCAGGCTGCAGCATAATTGCTTAGCAGCTGTACAGGTTGTACAATAACCCATATCGAAATCACCCTACAGATCCCCTGTCTTTTCTGTTTAGGCAGGATTTAGCCACTGGACCAACGTGCCAGTACGCTTCCTAGCCAACTGATATGTAGTTGCATGGTCTTAAGCAGAACATTACTGACATTGGGTCTTACATGGCTGATAGTTTATTTGTGGGTTGCCACAAACTATGCTTAGTACTGTATGCCAATGCCAGTTACACAGTAAAGCATTAACTCAAGTCAATAAGTTGCTTTTAATGCAAGACACAGTGTGTAACCATGATTCTATTTCCATGTGGAAATGTAGGTAGATGAGTGAAATGGACAAGTGTCTAAGAACTATAATCTTTATCTCTTTCAGTTCATGAATATAACAGCAATACAGCAAATAGTATACGTTGGTAATAAAAGTAAATTTGAGTAGACGTGGAAAATGCAAAGCTGAGAAAGAGGTATTTCACATAGGTAGTTGCAATAAAACAAAGCTATGGGTAAGCAATCTGTGCCAGAGTCTGTAGAGAACTTTCCATTGATTTTTTTTTTCCATCCTGTCAATAATGCTAGTTTTATTTTCTATTTAACTGCTCAGTTACTAACTGAAAATATTTTCCTAACTAGTGCTCAGTCAAATCTTTTATTTGCATTTTTGTATGGTCTATTCCACAAAAAAAGCCTATTCATTCCTACTGTATGGAGTCTCAGTCTACCCCTGTAGGACACAAAACATTCCCATTATGCAGTTTGCCATGGGTAAACCCTGACACTGAGTACAGGAGCAAGAAGGGCACCATCTAGAACTTGCATTGTAAATCACTGAATTAAGCCTAGACCTTGCTACTTCCAGCACCATGGTATTCCCCATCTGATCTGCTTATAAAAAAAAAAAAAAAATATTTACATACTGCGTGCCATATTTACTTGTACTTCTGTATTAATTTACTAACAATTATAAGCATGCTGCAATTTTTGAGCATCCCAGAAGGCCTTCTGCTGCTGAGCAAAAGTAAACAAAAGGAGCAAGATTTGCACTGAGGCAAATGCAAGGGATTTTAAACACTCCATGTGCAAAACAATATTACCAGTGTGTCCACTTCACTGGTGTGAAGTAGAATTTGAGGCTTTTTTTTATTATTAAATGACTAAATAGATAATGCCACTGTTTTAAAGAAGATAAAATAAATCGTCTATATGGTATTTTTTTTCCAGAGATCTTTGATAGAAAGCAGAAATGAAATGAGGATCTGTGTAGCTGTAATTTCTCTTCACAGCTAATTAAAGTACTAAAATCACACATCTTTGCTCATAAAAAAGAAAGAACCTGCTCTGTCTTTCTGTATGTATGATTAAATCCTGACATGTACCATACAGATGCTCTGTTTTAACTAAAGCTTTCCTTATATCTGCTCACATTTCATTATGCAGCATTTATAGTCTATGTGGATTTCTCTTCTAGGTTTTTAAAATCTGGTTAGGCTATATATGCTGGGGAGGGGGGGGGAAAGAAATACCAGTCCCTTATGGTTCTGACAGCAAAACTGTGATGGACGTACTGCAAAATAAGTCAAACCACATAGCTTCCTGAGAATGATTTGGACAAATTCAATCTTTTGTTACAGAAATAGTGCAACTAGACCTATTTCACCCTAAGGGAAAAAGGATGTTCATTCTTTTTCACCTTCTTCCTTTCACTTGTGATAATAGGTTATGATGGTCATGCATGCATAGTTACTGCTGTCCCTGAACCTCTGAGCTATTAATATCACACAACACTGCTTTATATTAATGTCAGTTTAAGTGTGTAAATATAGATGTGCTAAATAGGAAAAGTTAATTAATAGACTATGCATCTTATTAATAAAGGCACCATGAAATACTTTATACTTGATTTCCTCTGGGGTTCTTCTGTCAAGCCTTTTTATATTTACAAAGCTGCAGTACTTGGGTGAAGGTCCTCAGCCTTCAAAGATGTTTTCTTCCTGCCCCATTCCTCTCTCCCGTCTTCTCTGTAGTTCAAAACCACCTTTACCTGAATCTTCACCTGTTTGTATACTCTAGCTGATGTAGAATGGTTTATTACATTTGAATCATACACAAGTCCTTCAAAAAAATTCCCCAATCAATTTTTTACATTAAATGGGAAAGCAAATATACATATATCAGGTCTGCTTACTGTTCCTCTTCTCAGTGTTCCTTCTACATTGAGTATTCTATTTCATAGCTCTCAAAAATAATTGATTTTCACCCTAATTCATATGGGTCACCTTTTGTATAGTGGGCTTTATCTTTGGCTGGTGCAGCTGGCCACTTTGGAGTGGCAATGTGAGATTATCAGCTACAGGAATCAAAAGAAATCCCATGGTTGGCTAATCCTTGTTTATGTAATCCTTGTTTATGTCTTCTCTGTCTTCATGTGATTCCTCTAGTCAGCTTCTACATATTGTCTAGTACAGCTTCAAGATTTCTTTTGGGAAACTGACCTCCTCCTTTGAATCCAATTTTTGTGAAATAGGCTTTTGGGAGCAATGCCACTTGTCCAATGGGCTGATGTCAAAGTTGGAAGAGATTTATTTGCCCTTTGCCAAATGCAAGACCTTTTCTTGGCATGTGCTGTGGATTTTAGCTAATGTGGAGATTAAATGCGGCAGAGAAAAAGAACAAACGTAATGCTATGAACTCCCAAGCTGGGGATTTTGACACAGATAGGAGCTATTTTTCTGTTATGTATTCTCAATAAATCCAGAGGGAGTTTTCTTCATCTCACACCTCACTTTTATCATCTTATGCACCCACTGAGGAAAAGTGGAAAAGAAAGAGTGGAAAGAAACCATTCATATATTAAAGCAAATTTGCAAGTTTAGACTCTGATTTTATCACGAATGTATGTCATATCATCTTCAGTGGATTCAGGATGTTTTGTTTTTATTTTTTTATAAATTCATATAAACATTTTAATAAATGGGAATTGGAGCCCTATTTACTTACCAGGGAGAGGTGCTGTTCCCTCAGCATGAACCAAGGATCCCCAAACACTGTAGTGAATGCATATAAACACATGTGATTCACTCCACTCAGAATTTAAATGAAGATAGCTGAGGGAAAACAAAGAAATGAGGTAGGCTGAAAAAATGCATTAGTCATATGCAGCACTTTCCATGCATTAATAATCAGTAAAAAGCAAATATTCATAATTTAAGTTCTTTTCTGGGGACTGGACAAGAAGTATGTTTAGGGGTTAATAAGATATGCTCAATATGTTTTGGCTCCTGGTCTTGCCTGTAGGACAATCTTCAACCCCATCTCAGTGAAGGATGGTAATTGATTCTCTGCCATAAACAAAGCTGCTCTACCTGGTAAGTGTGGCATGGGAGAGAGAATTTATTTTTTGTATTTTACATTCAAGTTGCTGCCATTTCTCAAAGGAAATATGGCAGAGTGATTGAGCACTGAAATGAAAAGCTGTCTTTCAACAACCTTATACAAAGAAAAGTGAGCAGATGTTTTGGTTGGAGACTACTACTAAGGGTTAGAAAAATTATCTAGTAATTGCTGAGGTCTCACAGCTGCCCCTTGGGGGCTCAGCCTCAGGGGGATTTTCTCCTGCTACCAGGAGAGATGCAACAACCCAGCAGGTTTCAATAACCAAAGGGTCACAGCTGTATGTTGCATCTCGGCAGTCTCCTGGGCAGGACCACTCTTCTACAGCCTTCTGAGATTGCACAACTGCTGTCCACTTCTGTTTTTCTTCTTCTGCTCCACTGTTTGGAATCAGGTCTCTTCCCTGCTCCATACACACCCCCCAACACCAAAAAAAAAAGTTTTTAAAATGTCTGTCTTCTTGCGGACTGCTGTTGGAATTAGAAAAGGAGGAGATTTAAAAAAAGCAGTTAATTGGTAAACATGAGAGTCCCTCGATCTACCCACCAAATAAAACATATAAAGCATATTGCACTGTGAAATAGCATTTCAGCTTGAGCCAATTTGAAAAGAAATGTGTCAGGGCAGTTCAACAAACTGCAGTGAAACATTTCAATTACCAGAATGTCAGCATTGTTTGTTTAGCTTGTACTGAAACCTTCCAGAATATCCATTATTTTAAATAAATAAAAAAAATAAAAGTCCTGCTTGGGGAGGAATCATGACAAAATGGATTGAAAATCCCAAATTTTGTAGTAGTCTACTAACAAAGGAGAAGATTGATGTCACTTAAGTTTTATTTAGCTGAAGTCAATATGCAGTCTAAGGTAGTTATTTACTTTTTCTTGGCAGGCACCTCTATCTCAAATGAGATGCCTAACTTTTAGATGAACAAAGCAGGGGGAATGAAACACCTACAGTGTTTGAAAAAAAGAAACCTGTGCTGAAGTCGCACTAGTTGAGTCGCACAGGCAAAGAGAAGCTTTGCTTGTCATGCTGGTTTGTGCCACAAACCACCCTGATTTATGCACCCACTGTTTGCAGATAAAGATAGTAGAGACATTTGTATGCTGGTAGCAAGTTTCATATGTGAAGTATTTTCTTATGCTATTCCAACATTTACCATCCTATTCCCAGCTTTCTACAGCAATGTGGCGAGGTGAATAGGAATGGGATATTAATATTACTATTA